AGGCGAAAGAAGGACCGTGAAGAACATCCGCTTCTGGCCTGGCATCGTCGAGTAGACGGGGAAGTTTTTCCTGTTCTGAAGGAAACCGGGTGCAGCGAGCTGGATGCAGAGCTCCACGAGATGTTGTTGGCCCCGCTGTTGCGGCAGAAGCGTGAGGAGCAGCGTGATAAGGATTTCCGATTTGCTTCAGAGCTGAACGAGAAGGAAGCCCAAGAACTCAGTGCCCTTTACGAATGCGAGTGTTGTTTCGCCGACGTGACATTTGAGCAGATCGCGACATGTTCAACCGACACTCATGTCATTTGCTACCACTGCATCCAAAGAACCGTATACGAAGCGCTGTTTGGACAGGGCTGGGGCAAGTCTGTGGATCTGGAGCACTCTACTTTGAAGTGTCTTGCGCCGTTGTCCGTCGGGTCATGCGAGGGATGTCTTCATCCGGAGATTGTCAAGCAGGCAATTCTTCTCGACACGGCTGGCTTCGAAACATACCGCAAATTCGAAGATCGGCTCTCCTCTGAGGCGCTTATGAAGTCTCAGCTGAAGCTTGTTAGATGTCCATTCTGCTCATATGCTGAAATCGACCCAGTCTACCACCCTTCATCCCATGGTGTCCGCTGGCGGTTCCGTCGTGACGGTGGCATTATTCCTACGATTTTGATGACCCTTCTCCTCCTTGACCTTGTCCCCTTACTCGTAATCCCTGTTTTTATTCTGCTCCTTTTGGATCCAGCCACCGTAACAGCGGTCTTCGGGAATGCCATTCGCAACCTCTGTCTCAAGATCCGACCTAAACGATTCACCTGTGCCAACCCATCTTGCTCACGCATTAGCTGTATGATATGCCAGAAATCGTGGCGAGATCCACATGTGTGTCATGAGCCGTTACTACTGGACTTGCGCGCTACCGTTGAGGCTGCCCGCACCGCCGCCGTGAAACGCACCTGTCCCCGCTGCTGCCTCTCATTCGTCAAATCATCTGGCTGCAACAAACTGACTTGCGTCTGTGGCTACTCCATGTGCTACCTATGCCGCAAGGCACTAGGCCGTCCTATACGAACCAATGCGCCTGCCCGTGTCCCCCGCGGGTTAGATGCCTTTGATGGCCCAGGCGATATACCCGATGATCCCTTTTACGATGAACACGTCGCACGCAACATGTCCGACGACGACGAATTCGAAGAACCAGAAGGCTACAAACACTTCTGCGAGCACTTCCGCATCAACCCTGGGTCCCGCTGCACAGAATGTACCAAATGCAATCTCTACCAAGCAGAAGACGAGGAAGCGGTTGCCCGCCGCGCGGGCGAGAAAGCCGAGCGTGAATGGCGGATGAGGCAAGGCGCTTCAGGAACCAGCAACCCAGCTTCAGCTGCTGGATTCCGCAACGTCAATCATGATCTCTCGGCAGGGGCCGATAGCCACTCTACGAATCGCCGCGCGACGACTTCAATTTGGGATTTGCAGCTTACATCTTTGAGTAAGCCGTGGGGTTATTGGCTCAGTGATGTGTGGGCTGATGGACGGTGGAGACTCGAGGGTCAGGCTTTTGCGGACTGGATTGTGGAACGGGTCATCGAAGTCGAGGACGTATGATCCGGCGCGTATTTTCGGCTACACCTTCTCAAAAAATAATAATTTCCTGCTTGTCTTGCATTCCATGGTACTCGATATAGAGTATCTGGGCTGGCGTACGGTGAATCTTATTCGTTGGGTCTCGAACGATATGATGATTGATGACACTCCCTGCTTCTGCTAATTGCGCGGCTTCTTACTACAAGACGTAGCATGAAACCTTTCTCTCTTTTTAATGCATGGCCTTTTTCTTTGGAAGTGTCTTATACTCCTAAATTGGATATATTTATCAGGGTCTAGGGACAGAGAAGCAAAGTGGAGATATGTCTTGAATTGCGCATGATGCTCAGCGAAACAAACTATGGATGGGATACATGAGAGTGAGATAGAACATTCCAAGGTTGAAAAGAATAGCGACACTACATGCTGAGACCCCAAGGAAGACCTCCCCTGAAGAAACCCATGAATTTGCTGGATATCGTATCCCAACAGTAATTGCATTGACCAAATATTCGGAATTGTGAGCAATGCTCAATACGAGTGGCTCGTCGATTGTGTGGATTTTGCCAAAGAAGAAAAACGTCTCCTTGCCTTTGGCTGTAACTGCGTCGATGCGAAATTTTCCGTGGATTCGTTCAATTATTGGATGTCGCTGACGCATGGGACGAGAGTTCGCCGAAGCAGAAACTTTGCGAGGCCAATTCTGATTGCTGGTGGGACTATGAGCTTTTTGGGGGTCAGCTGGATGATGACAAATATTTCGAGACCGTGTTTGATTGACAGCGTGGTTCGGTAGGGAATTGGTTGGCCGAGAGACTTTGTAAGGTTGTTTTTCGTTTGTTGGTTTGACCACAAGAGTCGAACATGAGAAGGGGCAGACTTCATAGGGAAGTCATTGCAGATTTGTTTGTTCATGGAGCTGATAGACAGCTGTTATCAACCAGGTCAATCGGCCAGAGCGGACATGGCGAAAGCGGATGATAGAGGGTTCATGCTGGTCATAGTGGAATGCCAAAGATGAAACGCTCATGATGGTCAAAGTGGAAGGCCGACGATGCATACTTCATGATGGCGTGAGTGGAAGGTCTCCAGGATGGAAGATGGTCATTGTGAAGACTGTCAAAATAATTGGAAAACAGTGGTTTTGAAACTTCTCATGGTGGATTGTTGTGGATATGGTTGAAAGATGGTTGATTTGAAGATAGCCATTTGAAAAATGGTTGTCAAGATGGATGATTGTCAAGATAGGTGATTGTCAAGATAGGTGATTGTCAAGATAGGTGATTGTCAAGATGGATGATTGTCAAGATGGATGATTGTCACGATTGTTGATTAGACGGTGTTTATTGGAAGATATTGGTCGCGATAGATGGTTGTAGATATAGTTGAAAGATGGTTGATTTGAAGATGGTCATTTGAAAAGAGGTTGTCACGATAGATGGTAGTCACGATGGATGGTAGTTAATTGAAAGGCCAAGAGTGGAAGGACATGACGGTGGACTATTTTCACCATAAATGATTGGCAGTGTAGGTGTATGATGGACGGTGGATAGTGGTTGGTGGTACGGTGGTTGCCGTATGACGGACGGTGGGCACGGTGGTCGTGTGGTCATGATTGTTATAGTGGTCAAGAGGAAAGGCCAGGTTGGAAGGCCAAGGTGGAAGGCCGTCACCGTGGATGGGGGTGTTATGGTAAATGGTTCATGGTAGATGGAGACCATGGTGGAAGCTGAAAAGCAGAAGTGGTGGTGAAAGAAGAAGGAGGAGGAGGAGGAGGAGGAGGAAGAAGAGAGATAAATGGGGGAAAGGGGGTATTTATACCTTCCCAGTAGCTGAAGGACCTGGGGAAACTGGGGTTGGCGACGAGACTTGACTAAAAGGGAAGGAACTAGGGTAAACCCGCAGAGCCTCACCTTAACCTTCGGCAATTGTCCACGGATCCTACCTAGGTACCTTGCATTACCTTGTAAAATGTATTTGGTATTAGACTATCCTCCACAAGCCACCCCTTTTGTTTCTGGCGTTGCTGTTACTTGTGATACTAATCCTGTCTTATTGAAGCCAAGATAGAGAGTATAGAAAAGCTCGGAAGCGATTGGGAACAGAACCCGGGCTTGCCCAAGAATTTTTGATGGCATCCGAGGCACGATCGGAAGCTGTATCTGAGTTGTAACCAGCGACACGCCAAGCATCGAGAGAGGAGTTGATGCCATCCTAGGAAAGAAGTTAGTATAATGCAACTCCATAGCTAATTTTACATGTCAAGACCTACAGCAATACTGATGCCTCCGTAATCATCTTGACCTAGCTTCTCAAGCTTAGGAGGCGTGGCAACCGATCCCTAACGGTGGGCAGTAAGGGAGAACATATCGTTCTTTTGCCAGTAGTATAGGTACCAGGCCTTGCCGTCACGACAAATCACAGAAGCTTCGGAACTAGAACCAATCCCCTGGTTATCACCACAGGCACCGCTGCCCATGATAAAGATCTTTTGGGTGCGGTACAACTGGTTGATGGCAGTGCCGGTCAACATGTTGGTCATTACATCGGTGACGGCGTTCTTGTCGGCCCCGTTGTAGGCAAGAGACGCTCCACCAGAAAGGTAGCTGCGGATATCTACGTCGCCACACTCATCAGCTGGTTATTAGCATTCGTGAATGACTTCATCGAGTCCATAACGATGCTGCCCGAGATGCCGCCCATATCGGCAGACTTCTCGAAAGTCATCCGCACTATTAATCTGTTAATAGGTAAGAAACATTGCAAGATTGAAGTGTCACATACCGAGCGGGCAGAGCAGCTTCACCACAACCACTTGCACCACCGGCGATTGCGCTACCAGCCCCAGCAAGCGCACCAACAACAGCAGGGTCCAGTCCAGCAAACGAAGCACAAATACCAATAATCTATCGCATCAAACACAAAGTTATTCCTTGCAGCTACACGATCGAAAAATTCCCATTATCCCAGCTGTCTGGCATCGGACCAGAGAGCCGCTGAACTTTCTTCAGCCATCCCTGCTTGATTGCCTGGTCTCGATGTATCGTCGCCATGAGGAAGGTCCGAAGTGGACGCTCATACTCTTTACACCAGTCGGTCAAAGCCTTGAACCCAGTCGCAGGTTTCTCGATCAGAAGCCACTAGGATGGTGCATAGAAGAATGCGAATGGGGCTGCATATATATCCTCCTAGTTGTAATTTACAACTCCGACGATTTTCAATGCTTCAGCCATGAAGACATTGGCTGGTCGGAGGTCATCATACCAGATTTTAAATGAGCCTTTGTTGGAGGTGAAGCTGAAGTCTCTAGTGAGTCTGCGGATGTGATATTTAGGAAAATATTAAAACAAGATCTATATGTTTTTATGACGCAAAGTTCCCAATAAAGTACTCCGATTTCTTTGCGAGCGCAGAGTCGATTAAATCTAACTTCCTCTTTTTTCTTCGTCCAATTCTCCATCGAGCCGTTTCTTTGCTTCTTCTCTCAAAGCTTGATCGTCCGCTCGGTTCAGGCCAACCTGTGGCATCAACAAAACAGCCAAAAAGAAAGCAAACGTCGCAAGGGATGCACCGACAATGAAGATTATACGGAATCCCTTTTGATATGCTGGTGTCAGCACATCACGAACATGCTCAGCATCCTCTGCAGATAACTTTGATAAATAGCTCTGTGGACTCGAGAGAAGAGAGCGTGACTGAGATTTGTCAAGATCGAGGACTGAGATGGACGACGAGACAATATTATTTCTGCATTGATTAATAAGAGACAAGCCGGCAGATTTGAAAGAATCCTTACATGATAGTTCCGGCAATGGCGAGCCCAAGAGTGCCGCCCAGGTTTCGTACGAAGCTGCTCATTGTTAGCTCCATAAAATGGCTGACGTCACTACGGGCGTCACTCACTTCCTGAATGAGGTTATCACAGCCATATCCCGTCTTTCGACACCGGCTTGAACAGCAATGAGAGAGCTATAGGGAATTAGCATGGTTTATTGAACCAGGATAGGGAGTCTTACGGCTGCAGAGTATTTCCAACCCCAACACCAGTCAGAATGCCATATCCAATTTGCTTTCCCAATCCCGAATGCTGATCAAGTGTCGAGAAAAGACCAAGTCCAATAGCCCAGATAATCCATCCAAACAGGATGCATTCACGGTAGCGACCTACCCAGTGTACAACAAGACCGGAGGCTGTACTGCTGATAGCTGCGAAGGGAGTCAGCACAGCAACACAACCAATAAGAAGAGGATTCATACTTTGCATGAGGGTAATGGGGAGAAGCATTGCAGCCGCTTTCACCGTCGAATATCCAAATACCAGCTGATAAAAAGTAGGAATATAGTAAACTTGCACCAAAAAGTTCCAGCCGTTGATGAACATGGTCAGACATGCGCCATTCACAATCCTACCCTGGAAGATATGCATCGGAACCAGTGGGGTCGACGCACCCTTCCACTGCCACGCAACAAAAGCAACAGAGATGGCGAACCCGGCGACCAGAGTCGCAATAACGTGCGCCGAGTTCCATTCATACTCACCACCACCCCAAGTCAAACCAAGCAGCAAGACCGAAGTTCCCCCGAGAGCCAGAAGCGCACCAAAGAAATCAATTGCCTTCAGCTTGACTTTCCAGTCCCCAGTCACTTTCCGAAGAGGCATAAAGAACAAAACAGCCAATGTGGTTAATGCAGTGAGCGGTAGGTTCAAGCGGAAGATCCATCGCCACGAGTCTTGTGAAATGGAGGCTAGTGCACCTCCGATAACAGGACCAATGCCATTGGCAATAGCAACGACGGCACCTAGAATACCTTGATATTTGCCTCGTTCACGGAGAGGGACAACATCGCTGACGATCATCTGTGCGACAGTCATGAGACCACCACCACCAACTCCGGTGAAAGCACGGAAGACAATCAATTGCGTGGCTGTCTGCGCAAGGGAAGCTGCCAGTGACCCGGCGAAGAAAATGGCTAGGCCGACAAAAAGCACAAGCTTGCGAGACCAGATGTCGGATAGCTTTCCGTATAGTAATTGGAAACATGTTGATGTTCTGTGCGCGAATGTCAACTTGACTGGGTAGTACCATGACTACAAGAGAAAAGAGTACTCACACGAAGTAACCGCCCGAAATCCAGGAGGTCTGATCGCTGGCTCCTAAAGCATTTCCTATGATTGATAGACTGGCAGCCAGGGTCGTCTGGTCCATCAATGCCAGGAGATCAACGCTGGAACATGCCAGGAAGATCTAGGAGTCGTTATTAGCTAGGCCATATATTGCTTGTTACAGCATCCACTGACCGTGATAATAGTGCGCTTAGGCACATAATTGGTTTGTTCGTTGAAAGTGACATTAGTGCCATTCTTCTCAACCGCGACACCCTCTGTTGGTTTTGAATTTTCGAGTACCCCTGTCATGGCGTATTGATATGAAGGGATAGAAAGTAAAAACAAACACCCAAGATCCGAAAATGCAGCAAAAAGAGAGCAAGAGATAGAAAAAAAGAAAGCAGTCAAGAGGCCAAAGCCGAATAATCAATCTCATCTATTCACAATTCACATTCGTCATTTATTGATCGGCGTTTTGTCTGAGCACCTTGACAGAAGATCTGCGCAAAGTAGACAAAACTTCTCAAACACCCTCAAGGTACCCGCCCCTGAGCTGCAATATACATCGGGATATAGGAATATCTTCAGCTAATAGGGAATTAAATACGAGGACCTGCGGGATGATCGAATGCATTCCCTGAGTACCTTGTCAACCTATGTGAGACATGAACAATTCCATTCTAGAGCATCGCAAGGTACGACATCAAAAATACCAGGGCATGACGCAGCTACAGTGAGAAACATTCCGTTTTCAACCGTTCTATATCCAATTCCTGTGACAAATGGGCTTGCCTTACAGGGTCTGATTTGCACTCGGACCGTGTCGATACTCACGAGATCGCTCCACGCGGTTTCCTTGTTCATACGGATTAGTAGTAGCAAATTTCCACGGCTTACAGCGTCCACCTATGGCGTTTAACCCTGATATTGAGTCGTATAGTGGGATACTCACTAGTGGAGTAAGAGTAGATCTTACTTCCCTACCTCCTCGGAAAGACGCAACAGGATGGAGGGGCAAGTGCTGGACGCTATAGAAATTTATTCTGTATAATTGCGGCGTGTGGCCCGGGATTTTCTTCCCTCATCTGTTTTCATCACTCAAGAGGTTTCGACTATCAGCATCTATATCTTGCACTAAGTGTGTCTCAACATGATCAATTCTTCCGAGAAAATGACCAATATAAACGAGCGCAATGTATACTTCGGAACTGACTCGCTGAAAAAATACTTCGACCCGGACTGTCAGCCTCCTCTGCCCCTTGTGGAGCTGCCACCTCATTTGAACCCTTATCGTCAAGATGGGGTACGGATATATGCCAAAATGATGACCATGCATCCGGCAAACAATGTCAAGGCAATGCCAGGTATGAGAAGCCCTGAGAGAACCCTAAACCTCAACTGCAAGCTAACAGGATGCCAGCATTGAACATGCTCGAATCTAGTGTTATGCCCGGCAAGACAGACCGGATCATCGAATACAGCTCCGGATCAACAGTGATTTCGATGTCCATGGTCGCCCGAGTCAAGCACGGAGTAAATGACACCCGGGCTTTCCTGAGCAACAAAACCAGCGATGCAAAACTGAAGCTGATGCAATTCTTCGGTCTCGACATCACCTTGTTCGGTGGACCGTCTCAACCAGAGCCATTAGACGAACGAGGCGGCATTCAAAATGCCCGAAGAATGGCGTTGGAGTCAGAGACGATTGTCAATCCCAACCAATACGAAAACAACAACAACTGGAAGTCCCATATCCGGTGGACCGGACCACAGATCTTCAAGCAGCTGCCTGAAATAAACGTCCTCTGCGCTGGTATGGGCACGTCTGGCACCATGACCGGTCTGGGAACATATTTCAAAGACGTGAAGCCATCTGTTTACCGACTTGGCGTTTGCACAGCCCCTGGTGACCGGGTACCTGGTCCCAGGTCATATGCTCTAATGCGCCCTGTTGAGTTTCCCTGGAAAGCAGCCGTGGATACCATCGAAGAAGTTGGATCGGCGGAGTCATACACACTCTCTCTGAACCTATGCCGGGAAGGATTGGTATGTGGCCCATCATCCGGGTTCAACCTCCAAGGGCTCTTCCAGACACTGGCAAAGCGTAAGGCTGCGGGAACCCTATCGGAGCTCGCAGGGCCAGACGGCATAACTCATTGCGTATTCCTCTGCTGTGACCTACCATACCAGTACATTGACGAGTACTTCCAAAAGCTGGGCGAGCAGCAATTCCACCCAATCCGAAACGAGGTAAGTACTACCTCCATGACGTGCTGGCATTTAACGAGTCCACAGAGGGGGGGGAAGGCTAACCTATCCACTATTCACTAGCACCTGAAGAAAGTTGACCTGCACCGATATGACGAAAGCTGGGAGCGGGATGCATTAGAGGTTTTACCCCAATTTTATGGATCACCACGATCCCTTGCGCAAAGCCCATTGAGCGAGATTGTCCTCAAGCCGCAGAACCGCGTTTTGGACCTGCGCCAACAAGATGATTTCCACGCGTGGCACCTCCCTGGCTCGACGAATCTGCCATTGTCTAGTATTGGGCCTCACAGCCCGTCACCGTTTTCGGATCCAAGTGTTCTGGAGACGCAATGGCTGGAGCTGGAGAAGATCTTCAAGGATGACGTGTTGGTCTCAGATCTGGGGCGGCATCACGTTCTAGTTGTATGCTACGATGGGGATTCAGCACGCGTGGCTACCAGCGTTCTTCGGGCGAAGGGCCTCGAAGCAGACAGCGTGCGTGGAGGCCACCGTGCGCTGAGGATGTATGGGATCGGGAGTGAGAGCCCGATCTCCACTACCAAGGGGCCCATAGGGGCTACAGTTTCCATTGCTGCTGTTCCCCTTGAATAGAGGACCTGAGACTTAGGATCATAGCGCAATCGACTTGCAAAATGCGGAATGTAGGGTTGGATCTGCCATGTGAGGCGCTAGTCCCGATGCAGACATATTGTGCCTCGATTTCTTTTCTTTTCCCCCTTCTTTTTCTTCTGTTTTGCTTGGTATTCTTTTCGATTACTTCATCGGTTTGGATTTATTGCTTGGCGCATACTACCCGATGACTTTCAATGAGGATATTGTTTCGATTCCTTCCACATCTTCTCACATGTAAGAGAGAACACAGTGTCCACCATGGCTCGAGCCTCGAGTTGCTCCGCATGCGTTGAAAAGCTCTCATTTGAGAGAATCCCGGAATATTCGGAAGACATGCAAGATATATCCATGATGTATGATATTTTCCGAGAAGTACTAGCCAACACGATGTCAGATGTCAGATCCAATTTGCATCGAGCGCAAATGTGCTCTAGTCCGTTTAGCCTGTAAATTCCAACCAACCACGAGTCTCCGAATGACTGCAGACCCCGTCTCTCCATGAAATATGCTCAATTGTGAGCAAATACCCTCGGGTGGTCGACCAGGATAACTGAAATGACTAGAATGTACATTCAAAGCCCCTCGACAGGTACAAGGAGAATAAGGGAGATATCCCGTTTTCGGTTCCGCAACCATCCAAGAACACAACTTGCTCCAGACTTGCTGATCATACCTTATGTATTCCATGATATCCGAATTCCCTTGACCATACGTTGTAGGTATTGGTGTCACTTCTTTTCGGTCGCACAAGATGATGGACATGAAGATGGCCGAGGGCACGCCCTGGCTCGATCAGCCGGTGATGCTTCATTCGTCTCGCGCCGATAAATGCAAATTGACCGAAGCTCAATGTCTCTATCGCAACTATTACTGGCGATACTGGTATGCACCTTCTTCTGGGTTACCTACATGTATATGTGCTTATCGGAAATCTGTTCTAGGTACCAAGCCGACCACGTTTACGCATTAAACACTGTCTACTTCATGTGTGCTGTGATTGGAGTGTTCGCGATCTCGAACTTGCTTGTACGATTTGCTCCAGATAAAGTGAAACGGACCAGACCATGGCGCATGTTCACTGCCGCCTCACGATACTTATCTTATCGTGGATATCGATTACCTGCGCTGCGATATTGGTCTCCGGCGTTGGGCGTGGTGATTCTAGGCGCTGTAGGCGCTGTCTTCTTCTTCGGTGGGTCGTTTGGACCCGTCAAGGTGTGACGAGAATGGTGACTGACCTTATATAGCCATGACACTTGGCCCGCAACCGTATTACTGGCCGACAGATGCTTCTTACGGAAGTAGTCCACCAATTGCGACTCGATCGGGCTGGATGGCTCTTGCGCTGCTTCCATTTGTACTGTGAGTGTCGGGTACGGAGCATGCAATTCGGTTGCTGACCTCCTTTTAGGGCACTGAGCACGAAAGCCAACATGATCTCTGGTGTGACTGGTATTCCGCATGAGAAACTTCAAGTGTTTCACCGTTGGACTAGCTATGCGATGTTTGTGTTGGCCTTGATTCACACATTCCCTTACATCATATTCCATATCTGGAAGGGGGACATGATGCATCAGTGGAAGACAAGTGTCGTCTACTGGACAGGGGTTGCTGCTCTCATTTCGCAGACATATCTAACCGTCATGTCTTTGCCATCTATTCGGTAAGATCACCCTTAGCCTAACTACCGGGAGACAAACACTTAGCTCTTCCACAGCAATCGTTTCTACGAATTCTTCAAAGCCACGCACATATTCGTGGCGGTGGTATTTGTCGTGTTCTTCTTCCTTCACTGCGATTTCCGGCTCTCTTCCTGGTATGACCGACTCGAATTAGCCCTATGACGACCTTTTATTAACATATATCAGGGACTACTTTATAGCCTCGGGCGTGATCTACTTCCTAAGCCTGATAGCCAGCCACATCCGTACCTATCTAATGCATGGCATCCACAACGCAACCGTTGAACTCCTCCCTAGCGGTCTTGTGCGCGTTGCTGTACCATCGATCATCAAATGGACTCCAGGCCAGCACGTCTTCGTGCGCTTCCTCACTTCAGACCTACACCTACTCACCGCCCATCCCTTCACCATCTCCTCCGCATGTCGCAATCCAGACGAAATAGGAAAAGCCTCAGAACTAGTATTCTACATCAAACCGCGCCGCGGTGTCACCGGACGCCTTAGAGCAATGGCATCCAAGAGTCCGGGCTGCACGAAGAAGATTTTGATGGAGGGACCGTACGGCGGCGTCAGCGAACCCCACATGGCACAATTTGACACGATTCTAGTGATAGCCGGCGGCTCGGGAGGCGGGTTCTCACTAGCCATGGTAGATGAAGCGCTCCGGCTGACGGGGACGAATGCACCGGCAAGCGAGAAACGAGTACCGTCCCGCCGGACCCTCCAAATCGTCTTCTCGACTCGCGACCACGCTATGGCAGATTGGTACATCGAAGAGATCGAATCACGGCTCTCCGAATCAACCATGTTATCCGCGAAGTCAGAAAACGCATTCGTGACTGCGGTATCTGTGCATGTCACTGACCAGCGGGGATCGGGGATCTCCTCGGCTTCGGAGTCTGACGATGTTAAGAGCACGGCTGGTAAGGCACCGCCGGCTGAGATTACTACCACGGGAAGTTTCAGTTTGAATGTTCACCGCAATGCTCGGCCTGATATTCCTGGTCTGGTTGCGCGCACGGTTGCCATGGCACATGTTCAAGGGATGCATCTTGAAAAGAAGCAGCGGGTTGGGGTTTTAGTCTGTGGTCCTGCTTCTATGCTGCATGATACTCGGAATGCAACTGCATTGGCGCAGGCTAGGGTGTTTGGGGGTGAGGTTGAGGAGCTGTATTTGCATACTGAGCCTTTTGTGTGAGTTTCGTTTCCTTGCTATGTTGATGACGGTTGACTAACTGGCTGTACAGGTGGTGAGTGCTTTCGTATGGAGTATCATTTGCTGGATTGATCTTACTCTCTTTCTCTCTTTCTCTTCTCTTTTACCAATATACTTATTTATTACTCCCAAGTATATATGCTTCAATGTAAGTCATATGATTTGCTGCAACCAAAAGAGAATCACATAATTACTTCATAAAAAGAAGCTATATCCAAAGAAAACTAAAGTTATTAACGGCTAAGACCCTCTAAACCAGTCCAAAGCCCGAGTCTGTACTAAATCCCAGTTGAATACACAACAATCTAAGTATAACTAAATAGTACAGAAAGAGACACCCAGAGCAACCACCGGCCAAATATAAAACAAAGTCTGGGGATATGAGACGCCGAGGCCAGAACCTGAAAAACAAGAACGCCCGAGAATTAATCCCATAAGGCTGAGTGGAGAGATGAGAAAGAAACTGAGATCAAAAGCCCAACCACGAAATGCAAATCTAAACATTAAATGAAAACAAAGTGAAGAGATCATCAGGTCATTAGCCCACCAAAACCCTACCTTGCACGCTTCTCACAAGGATCAGCATATTTTCTTTTCTTCCTCTGATCCTTGATATCAAATCAGATCGAAATCACTCCCCCCTCTCCACTCTCTTCATCAAGGAATCCCTCATTCGCACATTGACCACACCACCAACACCGTACGCAGGAACAATCTTGCCCATGCGCGCAAAGCAACTAGGCACATAATCGCGACGAATCCTCGCCACACGTTCAGTCCAGTGCAGACCACCGGCTGGCTGTCGGTTATACAGATCCAAACCGAGAAGGTGCATGGGCGTACTAGCGAACTGCATAGCAGCGGGACAGGCAAATTGCGCGATGCTGGATTTCATGGTTGGGCTTGTAGCGAGGAAGTCTGGGACTGAGGGCGCGATGAGGGCTGGGATATTGAAAGAAGCCCAGATTGTGATACTGTCGCGGAGACAGAAGAGGCCGTAGGAGACTTTAGGTATTTGGAGAGTTGGTGCTGTGGGTACGGAGGGAGGGTGTGGGGCACGCAGAGCGGAGCTGTACTTCCGCGCGACTAGGTTTGTGTTTATGGTGCTGTTTCTAGCTGGCGATTCGGGGGGAGGAGAGGCACCGAATATCTTGGCGAAGCGCGCGTCTTTGTAGACGCAGATTGTCATGTTGACTATTGTTGTTGCGAAGAACTTGGAGAGGCCTGTGTCGATGGCGTTGTAGGGCTGATTATGCGTTGTTGATTTGAGCGTGTCTATTGCATTTGCTGTGAGGTAGGTCGAGGTGTATAGGGTGTAAATGAGGATGAATGGAGTGCTAAAGAAGAAGCCGCTGGGTCGAGCCACCATCGATCGGAGGCAGTTATTGATTGTTTGGCCGATTGGGAAGCCTTTTGAGGCTTTCTCCATAATTGCACTAGAGGAATTAGTTTTACATTTGGTAATAGCACCTGAGAGCCGAGATAGTCACTTACCGATCAATGATGGTGATCAATGGGCAGGTCAGCACGCCAGCTGTTGCTGCGCTAGCGACATCGACGCCAAGCCGCTTGCCCAGGTCCTTGGTATTCCATGTTGGCTTCGTTGTAGAGCGTTTGCTTGGGGCCTGTCCTTGACGTTCCTGACACGGTTCCTGCTTTACAGTCGCCATTGTTAATATTGTATCTTGCACAACAGCATCCCGATTCATGCTCATGTGGTATGGAGAGAGAGGTTATGCATTGAGTAAAAGTATACACAAGAAAAGGTCAAATGAGACAAAATGAATTACAAATGCGAGATCTGAGAGATTATATGTATTCATTGATCTCCCCCAGCTTCGGACGAGAATGACCCGGCCGCGACCCGGCGCCGGCCCTCCGATGCCGGCCCGATAGCTTATCGGCTAAACGGTGTTCCATTTAGGATACAAATATACAAGGGAGTATACAAGGGAGTATAGCTTTTGCTTCATTATACTCTTATTCTTATTTTGAAATTCCCCAACGCCAAATACAAGATCCTAAATACATATCTAGCGAGCTTCAATACCTTCCATAGTGACATTGACCGCACCAGCTTGAACCAACTAGAATGAAAGTTAGCGGAAATCCGAATTATGCAAGGGACACACGTAATACATACCGCTCGTTGCAAGTCGTCAATCAGGTCATCCACATCCTCAATACCAACACACAAGCGGATCAAGTCTTCAGGGAAAGCGCGCTCCGCCCGCGTCTTCGCGTCAATGCTGGCATGACTCATACGGCACGGCATACTAATCAGACTGTTGACACAACCAAAGCTGACACTGATAGCCCAGATCTTGGCGCTTTCCACAATGCGCTCGCTAATGGCTGTGTCACCGGTCTCGAACGAGAGCACAGCGCCGGCGCCCCGTGCCATGGAATTATGAAGTTCGTATTGCGGGTGGGATCGCAAACCGGGGTATCGCACCTTGAAGCCAAGCGACTCAAGGAACTCGGCAATGCGCTGAGTATTGCTCTGCTGCTGTTCCATACGAACCTTCAAAGTCTTCACGCCACGCAGCAGCAGCCAAGAGTCGAACGGTGACAGGCCGCATCCTGATGCGTTAATCGGGAAGTATAGACGTTCTCCGAGCTGCAGGTCGTTCACGGCAATGACACCGGCCATCAGGTCGTGGTGGCCGGAGAGGTATTTGGTGCCACTCTCGTAGACGACATCGGCACCGAAGTCTAGTGGGTTTAGGAGAAGGGGAGACATCATAGTGTTGTCCACAGAGACAATGCAGGCGGGGTTGGCTTCGTGGGCGGCGGTAGCAATCTTTCCGATATCGACGATCTTGATCAGAGGGTTTGTGGGGGTCTCGAGCAGCACCATGGTCGTTTTTGAGCTCAGCACCTCCTGGACCTTCTCGGGCTGTGTGGTGTCGACGTGGTGCACGATAATGCCGCCGTTGGTCGAGAGGTACTTAAGCAGACGGTTGGTGCCGCCGTAGAGGTCGTCACCAGTGACCACCTCGTCACCGGGGCGGAGAAGTCTTGTAATCACGTCTAAGGCTGCCATACCGGAGGACACCACCAGGGCGCGCTGTGCCGACATGATCTTGGCCAAGTGACGCTCAAGATGTGTGCGGGTGGGGTTACCGGACCGTGTGTAGTCATACTCTCCACCGCCGGCGTTGGAGGCTTGTTTGAAGGTAGCACTCTATGTGATTTAGTATGATCAGTATTTATGTGCAATTGTCACCTGGGTTGGATCTGTACCTGATAGATAGGAACGCTGCTGGCATTGTATTGGTCACTGCCCTCGGTGAAGACCAGCTCGGTGGCAATATTGTACCGGCGACCGGTATGAGGACTGGACGGGGCAGGGGAAGGTGGAAGGTCATTGCCTGCCAAGTCAACCTGAGGGAAGCCCTTCTTTACACCGCTGGATGACCCCGAGGCAGCATTGGGAATTCCGGATCCTGAAGCCGACATCGCTGTAGCGGGGCAGAAAGAGGGAGGGAGATAGAGTGTATAGAGGATAATTGAGGTTAATTCCAAGCAAACAAGACTCAAAATATGCGAATACGCCAGAAATTAAAAAGGGGAATATGAATAGAAAATAAAAAGAAGAAGAGAATCCCCAACCAGTTCACATCTTCTCTCCCCCGGACAAGCGTCCCAAGTCGGCGCTGATTCGTCGAGCCACGGCGATTGCGATCTCGTCATCCGCTAGTCCCGATTAGGCATGCAAGTATGTGGAGATTTTATGAGTCAAATTGGCATTGAGGTGTGTTATATTGTTGTGTATTGTTTATTTCTCATTTATAGTGGAATACACATTTAGAGAGGCCTTGATAGCTCTGAATATGGAGACTATGGACCTTGATATCAATGTCAGTATGGCTTGTCTGCATATGTAGGCAGGTTGCTCCCCTTATTAAAATTCACTTTGGTCTTTTATATTCAGAACAAAGAGATACATGTATATCAATTGAAAGTCATCTAGAACCAATTTAATGCTCTTTTAATAATATATATTGATGTATAACTAGTTACTCTGGTGAAAGCCGCCAAGTCTCGTTAGTCGTCGACTTGGCTCCCGGGGCCCTCCAGGGCTGGGACCTTCAACATTTCTACTCCTCTGTCTCTACATATCTAGTTGCATATACCCCTGTAAAGCCTAGAACCTGGAATCTGGGAAAGATACCCAAGGCTCTTCAACACCTTAGCCAGAGAGGAACCCCAAAAATGGCATCAGAATCGCAAGCCGCATTCGCCTATCATGAACCATCCGTCGAAACAGTCCTCAACTACACCGGCTTTCTTTTGACTCTGAACATAGCCAATACCTGCCTGGACAGGCTTCTCTACTGTGGTCTAATCGGCCAACTCTTCATCGGTGTCCTGTGGGGCACTCCCGGGGCACAATGGTTCGACCAAGAGACAGAAAGAGTGATCCAGCAGATTGGGTATTTAGGCCTGATACTCTTGATTTACGAAGGTAAGTGTACCTTTTTCTCTACTCGGATATCTTTTCTTACAATGAACAGGCGGTTTGTCAACCTCAATCAAGTCCTTGAAGGCAAACATGATTCTTTCGATAGCTGTTGCCATCACTGGAATTTGTGCTCCAATGGGCTTGTCATTCATTCTCAAGGGACTCTTGTCGGCGACATCTCTTCAATCGTTCGCTGCTGGTGCAGCCTTGAGCGCAACTAGTCTCGGCACCACCTTTACCATTCTCTCAACCACGCAGCTGATAACTACAAGGCTCGGCACAGTCACCACTAGTGCTGCAATGCTAGACGATGTCGTCGGCCTACTCATGGTTCAAATTGTTTCAAACCTTGGCGGAAGTGCCGCCTCGTTCGGTGCCGTGACTGTTATTCGACCTGTTTTTGTTTCAATCGGGTTCGCTGTTGGCCTTCTATTCCTGTGTGCATTCTGTTTACAGCCAGGATCAAAGAAATTACTTGGGCGCAAAGACAAGTTCCCAGCTTTTGTGGGAACTGCACAATTTGCTTTCCTCGCGCAGACTTGTGTTTTAGTTGGGACCGTGGCTGGTGCAACATATGCTGGAACTTCGAGTCTCTTTGCTGCCTACCTTGCTGGAGTGATTGTCTCTTGGTTTGATGGGCTGGTAGCTGAAGCCAAAACACCAATTTCTGCCTTGCAATCTGATGACTCTCAAGAGCCGACTTCCAACTACCAAGGAAGCATGCAGAATAGCAAGAACCGGCATGCCGAAGAGACACCTTCGCGTGCGCAACCTCTCCGGGAAACAGAAATACCCTATAATGGTATACCTACAGGCGAACTCATCTACAGCAAATATTACAAAGAGCCGGTGAACCGAATCCTTCTCCCTCTTTTCTTTGTGAGTCCTTCCATTCCATCTAAGAAGTGACGTCTAACATCAGCAGGCATCCATCGGATTCGCAATCCCCATAACCAAAATGTTCTCAGGTCAGGTTTTATGGCGTGGGATTATCTATGCCATGCTGATGGCAATTGGAAAAATGATCACAGGCCTATGGCTCGTTCGATTCTCTCCGAGCCCTGTGTCAGGTCTAGTCTCTACCGCCAAGAAAATATTTGCATACACTCATTCCTACTGTGCGAGCCCTCGGATCGCCGGCAGAAAGTCGAACCAAAACAAGAAAGCCCCACAAAGACCGGCGACTCAAGATGATAGTGCAGATGTGCCAACTCCCGATAATGCCAAAGATGAGTCTCAGTCAACGAACAGATCCCCGGCACCAACTTTCTGCTCCGATTCCCGCATCTCCCTTCCCCCCAAACCAAAGTCCCTGTACCCGTCTTCTATCCTGGGATTGGCAATGGTTGCCCGAGGCGAAGTGGGGTACCTCATTGCTTCAATTGCCGAAAGCCAAGGAATATTCTCCAATGAACCTTCCGAAGGACCATCTGAGATCTATCTAGTGGTCATCTGGGCAATCTCGCTCTGCACATTGGTTGGTCCGATCTTGGTTGGAACGCTAGTCAGACGTGTAAAGAAGCTGCCACAGTCAAGGGCGGATATGGGGTCTGATCCTCTGGGAGTTTGGGGCATCTAATTATCTCAGATACAGTAGCGATGGCCATGCTATATTGAAGCTCAAAAGCGATACCATCGGTACATAGACAATGATTCTTCCGATACTGATGACCTTATGATCCTAATATACACACGAACACAGGCGTTCAGCCACCCATCTCCATAATCCGACCATTCTTGATATGAGTCATGGCGCTCCGGGAAATAGGATCCTTCTTGTCGAAAGCCGCCTTCTTGCGTTCCGAAGGAGTCCAAGACGTAATGTCCTTCGAATCACCGCCCAGAGGTCTACCCTTGTTCCTCTTCAGCTTTCTCAATGCCTTTGCCCATCCCCAGGGATCATTGGCATTAGCTGTAGCCTCGGGAAGCTCAGCCGTCTCACCGGACAACTTCTTGTAGCGGGGGTGGTTCAAGCCATGAATCGTGACATCGTGTTTGGCGGCATAAGCCTTGATCTTCACATCATGGTCATCCCAGTCGATACTGCACCCTTCGACGTCAACAATGAAGCGAATGAACAGACCGATGATGGCTCCTATATTCTTTACTTCCGAGTCCGACTCGAACAGGTCATTTCGCTCCAGAGTAGCGAGCATAGCGAGAAACATTGTGGCGAAGGTGATAAACACCTCGTTCATGGTCTCTCCGTCGTCGCAGCTGTATATTGCACTCGTTAGCGTTCCGTTCCGTCAACACTCAATATTCTGCTCGGAGCCAGCGAGACAAACCCAAGCAATGGCATCATAGCATCCGTTTGGAAATACAGTCCCGTCGCTTCACAGATAGCCCACTGCATCTTCCAGTCACCAGCAGCCTCGTCAAAATCCACGAGGTTCTCCACCAGCTCCATAACGGCGTATCCAAAGAAGTCATTGTAGACATACATCCCGAAGTTATCCGGGTTGCGCACATCAGTACTGCGATTCAGCGCAATCCATTTAGCCACGCCGGCTTCTGTGAAGATCCATTTTTCTCCTGGGTGCTCAGAAGCAGGTTCGAGGGTAGTGGCATCGTCCGCCTCCTGGTATCAGAATCAGCTATCTAGGTCAAGATAGACTGGTCTTTCTCTCCTCTATTGTAAGTCACTAACCGCATCATCTTTCTTCTTCTGCTCTATAGACTCCTCATCTTCCTCATCTTCAGACTCATGTTCTTTGTTATTCCAAGGCGTGCGCCCCAGACAAATATAAGAAAAGGCCTTGACTGGGTCGCGGGTTCGCAATCTGAACTCCGAGTCTGCGTTTCGAGATACAGAGACAGGGGCCCATCGCTTGTTCAGTGCGCGCTCAGTTTCCATGTCTATTTCAGGGGGGCCTTTGGACTTCTTCGCGCCATTACCGGCGGAGTCGGTTGTTTTTCCCTCCGAGGCATGGAAGATGGTTAAATTGGATAAATGGAATAGATGAAACGAAGATCTAGTTATAAAATTGAAATAGATTCAGTGGCTTACATACGGGCGACGCGACTTGACGCGTCGCGAGTCCGGTGATGTCAGATACATCAACGCCGATCAGGAGTCGACTTATTTTCTTATTTTAGTCTAAATCTTATGAGTAAAAATAGGGTATGTGAAACAAGCAATTGAAATTTGCATAGACTCCATCCCAACTCCCTCTGGATGCCAGTCCAACATGGCCCAACTCAGAGAACAGCAGAAGACACAAGAAAATGACAAAAGACTGCCAATCTCATCAGGATATCCATAAACCAGACCGTCTCTAAAGACAGCACAGACGAAAGCATCGCACAACGCCGCAGCCAAACCCACCTCGCCCCGACAGCAACCCGTTTTGAGACCGGAAAAAAAAAAAGAAAGCTCCAAAAAATGACAGTATATACCAGCATAACAATTAGATTAGAGTCTGTAGAGGGAACCCCGGGTGTACGTTGTACTCCAAAGCCCTCCAGTCCACTTTCCACAGGAAAAGTGTGCGCAACAGCATAGACATGAAGCGTAACATACTCCAGATCGCGATTGTTTATGCCGCCAGATCGCCGAAGCCGCCGTTGATGCCAAAGAATTGGAACCTACTGCCGTGTTAGCAAAAGAATATCACTTCAAATGAAACCCCTAGAAGCACAAGTCCTTGGGAGACATACCAGTCTTCGACATTCAGCGTCGTTGGTGCAGTCGGCCCGCTACGGGAACTACTACTCCAGCTATCGTTGTCTTGGCTAGCAGCGTCCATCGCGGCTCCACTCATAGTGCCGTCGAGACCGTGCATAGGCGGCCAGGCTTGCTGGTGCTGGCCCTCCATGCCAAACATCTGCTGCGGTGGGTTGGGATGCATTCCCATCGCACCCGGCAGTCCTGACATTATTGGTGGGCTACCATGGGAGATAGACATGCTACGGCCGGAGACGGGCTGCGGCTGGTTGCTCATCATGGGACTAGGGCGCGCGGCCATTCCCGGGGGCATTTGTGATGGGATCTGAAGGGATGGGTCGACTGCGGCGGGCTGGGTTGGCGATGTCAACTCCGGGAAGAAGGTGGTGCCGTCTGGGAAGAGCTGGTCGGGTTGGAAGTTCTCCCAGAGGGAAGGGGAGAGGTTGGGAGAGGTGCGGGTTACTAGGAAGAAGTCGGGGGGTGTAGCGGGTAGAGAGAATTGGCCGTTGAACGGGGTTGTAGGCCTGGTGTTGGCTCGGGAATTACCCGTGCCGGTCATTGGATCGTGAGGACCGCGGTGAGCGTTTGGTGATTGTTGGCCGCCGGGAAGGGGTTGGTTCAATTCCCGGGAGGGTGTGACAGCGGGTGTCTGGGGCCGGGAGCGCTCGTATGAGACGGGGGGTGTAGGCCCGCCACCATTGGGCATGCCAATATCCATATCATCAAATTTGCGCTTCGGCGGGTCATGCCTCTTTGAGGAAGATGATTCTCCGTGCCGCGTGCGCTGATGTCTCCGGCCTGCAGCCTTCTGGAGTCGCTCTTCCAACACTTTGTTTCCGAGGATAGACTCGAATAGCGTGTTCACCATCTTCGCCACCAGCCAGACCTTTGATACATCCTTGAGGGCTAGCATGCAAACATTGATTCTTTCCTGGCAGGTGGCCACGATCGAAGGAACCGAGGAACGCATTTGGTAAACGTGCATAATCAAAGCTGAGAATAGACTGTAGACAATGAAAGCAGGCGTGTACCGGATCTCCCCGTGCGCCTGTAGGTTCTCAACAATAGAGGTAATCATGCCTGCAGCTTGGAAGGCAATTGTTCGCGATGGATAAGCCATTTCTTCGACCCTGTAGTTATTGGGTGCGGATGACGCAGGCGGCATGTGAGCCCTGTGGAGAAGACAGAGAGTAGTGTAGTAATTAGAGTGCAAGAGAGCCGCCCAGAAATGATGCCGAGAGCGTTGCCAGCATACTTCTTTGGGACAGTTCTGCAGCCAATCGGCGAGCGCCATATCCGAGTGGGTGAGATCCATGGCATTCATTCGCCGTGACTTCGAAGCCACAGAGTACTGCTGCGACAGAACCAAGCCCATGATCTCGCACAGCTTGACATACTGCAGGAAGAATTGGACATGGACAGGGTCTGCTGGGTATTCGGCGACAACGTCGAGCTCATCCTCGATGAAATCGTCTTCCGTCACCATCTCAACATCCGAGTCATCTGTATTGATCCCAATGGGCCGCCCCAGTGCGACAGCGACAGAGCGATCCCGGGTGAACAGGGTCCACCAGATTCTCTTCCAGAGTCTCTTGTCTGGTTTGTTAAGCTGCGACATCTCGACGCTGCGGTGCATTCCAGAACCCTGAGCTACCACCATAGCGACCCGTGTCCAGTAGAAAACGTTCTTGGTGACGTCTATGACTAGTCAGAAAATCCATTAGGACAGACTGAGTATAGATTGTGGACTCACCTTCCGGCCCCTCCCAGTACCAACCCAAAAGCACTAGTGCCTGCACGATTGTGACTCGGTCATCCTCGTAGTTAGCATCATAAAGCGCCTTAGCACGCTTATAAAAGGTCATAGCCGCAGGGGTTGTCGAGCCATTCGCATCCATAAGCTGCTGGTTAGTGCAGACTCTCGATCCTGCCAGCAGAATCGCCTGCAGCAGTAGCAACGACGGCGGGTTTTTGGGGTCACGGTAGTGACGCATGAAGCGGCTCTTATTGATAATCGGCACGACGGGAGCCACCCATTTGAAGTAGGCGTCGACCAACTCATCGCACAGAGGTTTGGGTGGGAGCAGGAACGCCCCCCGCTGGTGCAGGATATCAATTTCCAAGTTGTCCAGGTCCGTCAACCGGGCGCGGGATCCTCTAATATTCGGTGGGAGCGGGTAGTGCACGACATCTGCTGTTCCATGGCGGTCTTGAACCAGAAGAGACAGATTCGACGACTCGCCCAAGTACGCCACTCGGCCGGCATCTTTTATCGGAGCACGGGCAAACTTCGGCTTCATGAATTGGGCATAGGCGTTATTGGCCGAAGCTTGTTGGGCGGCCTCAGCCTCGGAAAGGGAAGTATTGGGCATGCCGTCGACGCCCATGAGGTTGTTCCGGTATCCAAAGGCATTGCTCTTTTCGTCCGAATCTGAATTCTTGTCTTTTTCCCTGGGCGCAGAGACCGAGCCAGATGCCGAATCGGCTGGCTCCCCGGTGCTCGTGGGTCGGAAGTGAGCAACTGCAGCGTCGACGATCGAGGAGGCAGTTTGCGGTGGACTGTCGTCATACTGAGTATCTTCCTTGCTCTTGTTTTGATTGTTCTTCTTTCGTTTCGGAGACGGGATCTTGCACTCGATAGAGAAAGCGACACAATTGGTGCAAGGCACCCCGAGACTGGCTGCATCACAGCGAACCTAGGCGACAGAAACGGTTAGAGTAGGGAAAAGAAGACCGCCAAGAGCAAACTCACCTTGCGAGCATGACATGTCTAATTGAGTCGAAAAGAGAAACATCAGCTATATATTTCCAAATCTAAGAAGGGGAAGAGGGAGGATATATCGCGATAAGGAACTGAGCCGAGGTGCGTTGAGAACCTCGGCCCCAGAGTCGCGTCTCCCTAAAAATCCAGACGTACCTCGCACGCGCGTGACGCACGTTGTCTAAGATTATATAAAACGAATTAGCAAGCGCATAAAAATGCTTAACTTGGAGAGTTTCCCTTCAGGTACAGGGGAAGCGAAAGCCGAAAAAACCCTGTTCCTCATCTTGCTTTGCGCCCGCACACTTCCCCCGCGACAATCCGTTTATCAGACCAGGACACCATCTTGCCAATATCACAACAAACCTAAACAGCACACCTGCAGAAAGAACCGGCTTACCTTCTGAAACTCAGTGGTTGGCCTTGTGGACCATTGCGCACCGTAATGCCCGAAGTCCCCGTCGAGCCCGCGTTGCTGGGAGCCGGGCTGGTGTGGTTGTCCGATAGCTGGTCGGTGTGAAATTCAGTGGTACTCATGGCCACACACTCTCTCCATCCAGTAATTCAGACCTGGTCGAGTCGGAGAATTGGGGAGGATGCGCGCTCGGAGGGGAAGGGGAAGGGGAAGCGATATGATATAAAGCGTGCCAGGCCCACGGGAGTACGGGGTACAGAGTATAAAGAGGGTAAGAAAGGGGATCTTGAACACGGCAAAGACGCCACGCGATCAAGAAAATAGAACAGAAAATCAGCAAATAAGAAAAAGTACCGGGGGAGGGAGGGGGGAAGAGGGAGGAATATCAAAGTTGGGTGAAGTTGGTTGTGGCAATATCAATTTCCTGGTGGAGTTGCTATTTGGTCAGCATTTTATATTTTATGCATTGGATGGATTTACGTTTTTATATTCTAAGGTATATTTTATTCTTATGATATTATGAGATCGAATATTCTCCAAATCATTTGCCTTCTATTTCCTGCTCTCTACGTTGTCTTTTAAGTAAAAGATGAAAAGGGGTAAAGGCAACCAACCCTAAGACCTCAGTACTAAACGGCCCATAACGGCCCATATAGCGCAGGGGTTCACACCGAACCCTTATTAACTAAGCACTAACGTGGTGTATGTAACTAAGTAAAAGCCACCAAATAGTTATGCAACGTTGGAACCTGTTGGAACGGGGACCACAAAAAGATGGAGAGATCGACGGATGGGGGTGGAAGACCGGAGGTAGCAGCTGGTGGAATGCTGTTATGTGGGAAACAGGAACACCGTACAACATATTCTATGAATCGGGAAGCGAGAAACAAAATAATATACTCTGTATAGCATAACTCTTGAAGTGCCAATCCTCAAACCCCAATTGCTAATCCTTTCCAGACATCCCAGGCGCTAAACCTGCCTACCCTAATTAGGCCCACCGCGTGGAAATACCATTGCTTCAGCCTCCATCCTCGGGTCGATCGTCCCGACTGAAAGATTGGTTCTTGCGTCTTTGGGCCATGACGTGAAAGGCTCTAGATCCTGCATTAGCTCCACGCCTCCAATCCTGGGTAAAATGACCACGGCCAGAGCCTACCGCCACGCGGGAGGATGCGGAGTAGAGAAGTTGACGTATACTCTCATATCGGGGATTTCTCTCTGGACTGAGCTCGGAGACAATATTCGGTCATGGGCCATATTGGCGGGATGTGCGGATGTATATGCAGTGTGACCTGCTGCTGCCCACTGGCCACCGCTTAATGTATACTTGTGTAGGGAGTTTCCAGTTGTAAACTAATAAACTTGGAGGATTTTCTTATGGCATGTGCTGTTCTGTTTCAGACATATTAATCTAAAAGGTGCTCCATAGTGTAACTAGATGATCCTTATGATCCCCTCAAACTCAACATTAAAGTCAAAAGTGATATTGCGGGGGAAGAAAAGAAAAGACGGGGACGAAAAAGACCAGGAAGTTGGGGAAATCTCATCTGAGGTAAATGCCCATCCATGGGTGTTCCAAGGCTCTTCAGAGGACAAAACTTGGTGAGCCTGGGCAAGCTTGTGATGCCTCGGCAACTTTGAGCTTCAACCAATGAGAGTGCCCCGGTCAATTTCCGTTCGCGCAGTTGCGAGAGGATACACGTAAAGAACACACTATCAGGCAGGTGGTTTTCTTTCTTTTACTATGTTGTAGGCCTGTTCGCCGGGCATCCCCGGGAAGAAACGGCTTTGCCTTGGATATTTGTAGAATCGCGGATCAGGAGTAAATAGAAGTCCGACAATGACACAGTTTATGTTGCAAAGTGAAATAGTATGGAATATCAAATCTTCCTAGAGCAGGGTTCTCTAAATTAGTGCCTTTATAACCAGGCCGGACATGAGATTGCATGAGATAAAATACATGAAAAAGACCGATTAAATATGAATATAGCCCTATGTAGGTGATATCGTGTGGGCAAAGGGTCCCTATGTGTCTGTCCATTATACTAGTCTCATATTCCAACTACGACCCATTCTTTCCTGATTTGCTCTTGCCCTTGCCCTTGAACTTGGATTTGGACTGCTTGACCCCATTGGACTGGGGTTTCTTCGGCTCCTTGCGGTCCTCGTGGCCACACTCTGTGACTTCTTCGATAGGCTGGACCACGGCAGCCCCAACAGCAGTCACTGTGGGGGCGAAGTCCACACCGCTGACAAATTGCTCGCTGAGGAATTCTAGACCCGCCACGAAGGTGCAAAGGGCGCTTGCAATACAGAAATGGCTAATGGTCATGCCAATGTCAAGCCACGAGCCCTCGTCCCGCACCATGAAGAAGAAGTTGAGGGTCATGATGTCTGAGATGGCCATAACAACCATGAAGAGCGCGCTTGGGGGTACCTCCAAGCGGCGGTTAAGGATACCCAGATTGGCACTGATGATGGCGAAGGGGATGAGGATTTGGAGAATCAAGAGCGCACCTTGGGCGAAGGGATCGAAGACGGGGACAAGGCGGCGAACGCTGTCGAGGGAGAAGGTCGAGATCGAGGCCACGTTGCCAGTGCTGAAGAACGCCGATTGCAAGAGGAAAAAGAAGAAGAGTGCCACGCGGACGTCGGAGAGAGTAAGGGCACGGTAGTAGAAATTTTCACCGTCGACGGTCGTTACGCCAGGGTTCTTAAGTTCCTTCGAGGTGCCTGCGGCATGGACATAAATGGCATGTTCCAAGCGAACCCATGTCATAATGGTCATGCAGAAAACAAAGTAGAACAACCCTTCCCATGAGATTGTGAGAATAATAAAAGTTGGTGAGAAAGTCAAGAAGATGATCATAAGCCGGTGCAGATAGTGGCTGTTCGGATACACACGGTGAAAGAATGGAAGCGTCAGGGAAGCCACTGAAATTTGGTTAGCATCTCTTGGTCAAGACATATTCTGTGGTCCTAGGACACACTGCTGGGTAGACTTACCTAGGACAACCCATCCAACTACAATATTTCCGAAAGGCAGGCCTTGGCGGGCCTGGAGAGAGAGCACAGATGACCTAGTGACGATGACAGCAAGCAGAACCATGCCGAGCTGAATTCCCATGATGATCCGCGAGCCAACACGACCAATAGCATTTGGGTCTTTGGATTCTGGGTCACGACGTCCGATGATAGCATCCTCAAACAGCAAATACAAGATGCCAGTGAGGAACATGAGCAAACCGCCATATGTGCTGCGAACAGATTAGCCACGTGAAAATGTTATTGTGGAAAGGAATCTTACATTGTATCAAGATTTTCAACCTTGATCACTGGCAGAAGAGTGAAAGAACTCATCAAACCGCAGCCAAGAGCCCAAGTCGCAGACAATAACGCATGACTGCGAATGAAGCTGAAGCCATGGATAACAGGCCACAATGCACCCAAGGCAAAGCAGACGGTGAAGATTTCGCGATGGAAATATGATTGAACCATTGCCTCCATCATACCGAGGAATACCAGTAGCTGGAGTCCAAACTTGATGTATCCAGTGAAGGAGCGCACATGGCCCAATACAATCCGACGACCGGCAATCAGAGCCTTGCGGCGTGCAAAGACCTCTTCCCAGAAATAAACCGGGAAGAACGCATAGAAGTAGTAACGCCAGGATGACCCCTGGTAAAGGAATACCGAGAACAAGGCGACCAGGATAGACGAGAAGAATGAGATGCTCGCTGTCGTCCGGTGGGAGTCTGATGTCCCATGCAAGACGTGCAGATCAATAACCGTGGTCAGCGCATACGCGATCCAACCCAGGTATCCAACAGAGACAATGGTCCGCAAGAATAGCCAGTCATAGGTTTGTAGGTAGCGCAAACCCTCGAGAGCGACACGAAGAAGCTCGGAAGACGCCGCAATAGCCTCCTCGTGGTCACCACTGGAGATGAGCGCCTCAATTCTTGCTAGTCTGCCTTCAATCGAGTTTTCGTGGTAGCCCGATAGAGGCTCATAAAGCACATACCGGATCACTGCGTCTCTCTTTTGCTCTTCTTTGACACGGTACATCTCCAGAACCGCCTGCGTGTTGGCGAGAGAGGCCAACGCCTTCTCCTTGGGGCTCGCGTTGAGGTAGTCCAGCGGCAATTGACCAACGGAGTTGACGGGGAAGTCAAGACCGACTAGGTAGGCCATGAGTGCGGCAACATCGGCCTGTGCTACATCGTGTCGGCGAACCTGGTCGAATCCCCAATCCGCCGAGAAACCATCTTCGTGACCCGCGGCAATTCCGCTAGCGGATAGCTGGGGCCGCGCGACGCCAGATCCCCAGGCAACCAACGGTGTCCGCGTGTTATCCGGATGACCGTCACCATGGCTGCCGGTGTCACTCATACCATGGTCTGCGGTGAACACGAACGCCGTTTTATCATCTCCGTAGAAATCTTCTACTAACCTGGTGACGGCCTGAACTCCTTGATCCACCACCTTGATGTTGTGTAGGTATTCGTTCGAGTAGGGCCGGAAAGAGTGACCAGTGGTATCCAGTCCCAGCAGGTGGAGGAAGAACACCAATTTGTCGTCCCGCAGTTTCCGGTCCAATTCCGGGTCAGTCTTTGCCGATTCAAAGAGGTCATGGACCTTGGAGAAGACCCAAGTATCCAGATGTGTTGCATCGACAGTGAAGTCCTCCGCCTCTTCACTGTACATCTCCGCATCGACCCTGCCCGGCACGGCGCCCTCCTTGAACATGGGCAGAATATCAGGACTGCCCCAGCTCCAAGTGTGCCGGCTCTTGTTGAACACGCTGTCAAAATTCACCGGGTTCATCTTCCACCCCGTGGTGACAGAGGACACATCCTCATAGAGACCTGCGATAAGCGCAACATGGCCTGGTCGTGATTCGGTGGGGACGCGAGTGTGCGAGACGCCGAATGTTCCGTGGGAGAGGACTTTCGAGCGGATAAAGGGAGACAGGCGAATCAATTCGTTGTTTTCTGGATCGGCGTCGGGGGATGGGTCAGGGAAAGCTTGGAAGGCCTTGTCGGCCCGTAGGCCGTCGGCAACAAAAAGGACGAGACGTTTGGCAGGCGCTGGGGCTCCGGACGATCGCTCGACACCATATGATCGCATGCCACTAACAATTGGACTGACGAAGTAGATGTCAAAAATTGAGTATGTATAGATCAAGTGGAAGACCACTGCGAGGGCGAGAAACCCAACGCGGCCGAGACGCGCCATGATCTATTTCTCCTGGATACTCAAGTGTTAAAAGAGCGGAAGTGGTCCACTGCCACAAAGAAAGGTAGGGAAAGTCCAAAAAAAGGAGATACGAATGTCAAACACAACACGTCAACCCGTCAACCTTTGAGGCGCATTGAGGAACTTGGCGGTGAGAGCCAATCACAGGTCTCCCTTTGTTTACTCTCCATACAACTGTCCAAGGTTGTGCTCTGGCATTTATTTCCCAGTCGAAGCTCCGCACTATCTTCAGAGAATTAGAAAAATGCACCTTGCTTTGAAATCTGGCGAATACAGTGATGTAGAAAGACATGTGGTGCTTATATAGTGGGTGTCGGGGTTTATAACCTACCTCCTTTGAGTTGTGGTAAGAAAAAGGTACCTCGCCAGGGAATATCCCAATTCAAACACGGGTATCAGCAGACTGGTCTATGGAATGATACTCTCGAGAATACTATTGAGCGAGGCGAGAACTTCAGGTGCCTTGCATTTGATTTGTTGTTAAGGAGGACCTTGCGAAGCGTGTTTTACTGAGCGAAGGGCCCACTGACAGACGTTTACCACTACATACAAGGTAGGCATACAAGGAGGCAAGCGTGTTGCAACCTCGGAGGGTGAACTTTTTGACGTTGATGTGACTGAGGATTGAAACAACACGACATTCCCAGTCCCGAGCAAACTCCATAAAAATGACCAGACCCCTAAAAAACACCGAAGACTGATACAAGTATCAGTGCTGCTATTGCGCTGCAAGAGACCGCCGCTTCGCTAGGGCATCAATGACTCGCGTATAAAACTTGGCTGCTTGTCCGCGGACGAAGGTGATGTCCACGGTCAAGAAGTCTGGTAGCAAGTTGACCAGCTCGCGGTCGCGGTTAGGGTCCAAATGAGGCAGGTATTGGAATTCAGTCTTGTCGTAATCAGCCGACACCTTTGGCACAACAAGATGGAAGTGAAGAGCTGCAAGGAGGTTAGAAAATGCCATAAACTAGGAAATCGAGCAACTCACTTCCGTTGATTCCAGTCTGGATACAATCGTATAGGTAATCTAACTCTCTGTTCTTGACATCGCGAACGATCAATCCTGTCAAGTCGCTGTATAGATCTTCTTTTAGTTGGGCGAGCCTGGAAGCCTGTGCAGCTTCGGCGGTTGCAGCTGCATTAGCACGGTTGGTCGCACCGCCCTTGATGGCATTGCCGGGGACCTTTGCAGCCCCCTCGAGACTAGCAGCTGTGTTTCGCGCCGCAGCGAGCTTGGTCTGTAAGGCTTTGACTTCAGACTGGACAGACGCAAGCTGTGCTTGGGCCTCATCAGCGCCAGATTTAAGTCGAGCCAATTCATCATCACGGTCTTTGAGTTGTTTCTGGAGTCCACGGCTTTGCAGTCCTAGCTTTCGCTGAGCATCCAGTTCGGCCTTGAGTGAAGCGACTAATTCATTCGATGCTGAGGATGTATCAATTGATGTGCCCCAGCGGCTATACGACAACAGAAGAGCATACCTTTAGTAACAGTCTCACTCTGCTTTCGCAGTTTCTCCATGTTGGCGTTGGCTTCGACGATCCCAATTTCTCGCAAATTGCGGTATTTACTCTCCAAGGCATCATTCTTCTTGGTCAGTTCGCCCAGCCTCCGCCTCAGCTCCGGGTCTCCACCCTGCTCGGAGTCAGTGCCTCCAAGCTTGCGTTTACGAGGAGAAGAATCCTGTGGGTTGGGTAACATAGATAACCGAGAGCGAGGGTTCTTCACGGGGGATATCGACTTGCGGTTATAGGCTGGTTCGTCGTGAATGATAGTCTCATCTACGAGCTCCGCTGCGGGTTGCTCGTACTGTTGAGAATCTTCGACTTCAGGTTTCTTTCTTCCCTGGCTCGCCGCTCGAGCAAGAGGGCTCAGCTCGTCTTGCTCTGGGTGAGTTACCTGGAAACTAACGTGTCGAGAACCGCTCGGGGTAAACTCAAATTCACCATCTGTTTGGAGCTGTATGCTGACCGCACGAGGTCGTCCTCGAGCGCGTGCTGGGGCAGCCTTGGGCGGCTGCTTCTTTGTATTCCTTGAGGCAAGTGGTTTTTCATTCTCCTGGTTGTCTGCATCTTCCTGTTCTGGTACTATAGCCTCCGCCTCGGTTTCCTGCACAAGCGTTTCAGCGTCTTGCGCTGCACGGCTGCTTCCTCTGGGTCGTCCTCGACGGGCGGGCTTTTTGTTTGCAGGGGGTTCCAGCTCAGCTACAGACACAGCTGCTTTCTGATTTCTTGTTCGAGTAGCAAGTCTGGTAGGTTTGGTCTCGGTCACATTCTCGTTTGAGGTACGCGGTCGGCCTCTTCGTTTTTTAGCGGGAGGCTCGTAAATTCCATGTGTTTCTGTCGCTTCGACTTGCATGATGTCCTCATTGTCTGAGCCTAGTAGACCAGAGAGTTTGGGAGGAGCTTTCCGTTTGGGCATTGTGCAGGTGTACCTAAGTATAACTGTTTGACAATTGCATATTCGCGGGACGCGCACCGACAACAACACCCCCAACACCGCCTTCTCCGCCTTACGACATGTGACTGGCATCCCCCCCGAGTCCCGCGCCACAAGCTGCCCGAATGATCTTCGGCGACTCGGCTGTCTTGTTTTAATCCTGGTGGACTTTAAAGCTTACGTTTATTTATCCTTAATTTTTGCTTTGACTTAGAGGTCCTTATTAGCGCTATCACCTCACTCTATCTAATCATCCCCTTATCGCCATGGCTTCAGCCGGTGGCCGAAGATGGCAGCAGTTCTTCCAAGAAATGGTGATGGTTGCAGGCACTGTGAGAAACTTCCTGTTTCAGATAGGAGCGAATCCTTCTAACACTACTATAGTCTGCGTCTGCGTATTTCCTTATTCGCTACCTTCTATCACGTCTTGATTTCGACCCAGAGAGCCAGAAGAAGGAGGAACAACGACAGAAGTCCGCTGCTATCATACGTCGATTGGAAGGCGGGAATGAATCAGATGATGAGGCTCCACGGAAAGGTGGCAAACGTGAGAAAGGGCAACGAAAGAGAGAGCTCACCTTGAACCAATACGAACAAGCGATTGCGATGGATGTTGTTGCGCCGGAGGATATCCCAGTGTCATTTGAAGATATCGGAGGACTTGATGAAATCATCGAGGAATTGAAGGAATCGGTGATTTACCCACTGACGATGCCTCATCTCTACGCTTCCACGTCGTCTTTGTTGACTGCACCTTCTGGGGTCCTCTTATACGGTCCGCCTGGCTGCGGAAAGACCATGCTTGCCAAAGCTTTAGCGTCAGAGAGTGGAGCATGCTTCATCAACCTGCACATCTCAACGTTGACCGAGAAGTGGTATGGCGACTCCAATAAATTGGTCAATGCAGTGTTCTCGCTTGCGCGCAAGTTACAACCTGCCATCGTTTTCATTGATGAGATTGATGCTGTCCTTGGAACCCGACGAAGTGGTGAACACGAGGCAAGTGGTATGGTGAAGGCGGAGTTCATGACTCATTGGGACGGTCTTACATCGGCAAATTCGACGGGAGAGCCCCAGCGGATTGTTGTTCTAGGAGCGACCAATCGCATTCAAGACATTGATGAGGCCATTCTCCGAAGAATGCCCAAGAAGTTCCCTGTGACCCTTCCTCCGATTGCCCAGCGCCTTCGTATTCTCAGCCTGATTCTCAAAGATACGAAAGTTGATCGCGATAATTTCGATCTGCACTATCTGGTTAAGACTATGGCCGGTATGTCTGGTAGCGATATCAAGGAAGCATGCCGAGACGCAGCGATGGTTCCCGTTCGGGAGCTTATTCGGGCAAAAAGGGCCAGCGGGATGCAAATGGATGCAATGGATCCCCAAGAAGTTCGTGGTCTTCGCACAGAAGATTTCTTTTCTCGCGCCGGTGGTATCAAGGTCATTCCTCAGCCTGCTCCATTATCCACCCCAACTGGCAAAGTCTCCGAGAAGGAAGATGGAGACTGGAGTACTGCGTCTGAAGCCACATCGGAAGCTGAGACTCAACACTCTGTGATGGCTGAGCCGCCAGAGTGAATGTGAGGCACTTTTGGTCGCCTTGTTGATATTTATTCTTACCTTGTCCCGCAGCGCGCAGACTTGGCGTAATCTACTGGAAATACCGGACTCAGGATTAGTGAATGGCTATTTTGTTCTAGTATGGCTGGCTTGTTGATAGAATTTCTACGTCATATGTACAATGGGTTCGGATACAACAATCTAATAAAAATCTTGCTCTTTAATGGTGTTCTTATTGCGTTCGTCTTCTATTTGATCGCAATTTGCAGACATGGTATATAGCCGACAGTGTACCGGGTACACAGAATAGGTGGCCTTGACCGGGGAACGTCATGTACCGCAACTTTGCCGAGCGGCCAAGTCACCTGCCCCAGAACAAACTTGGCGCACTGCAGTAGCTTGAGCGTTCTATTTCCTTGTACTTTGTGCTCCGTCTGTACAGACAAATAAAAATAATCCAAGTTAATTCTTGTAATTCTTTGTGGACAATTGTCCTGCTTTAATTAACTCCGGGTTCAAACAAGGTGCGGGTCGTTATCGTCACACCTCCTTGGCCTCCTATCGCCTATCCTCCCTCACCTCACACTCTTGTTTTCCATACCTTTTCAAAGGTCTCGTGCTGTCGGAATCTTTACTTTATATTTTGGATGAATACCTGAATATATGATCAAGCGTATCTTGCCGCACTCCCAGTCAAAAGGCCACGAATGCAAGTCCGGGGGTGGATGACGAATGGGTCTCTCCTAGATCGACTCTGATGGCAACTGGTGCCTTGGCGGTACACACTTCTAAGGGGGCTTTTATTTTACATCCTTAGACCCATCGCTGGATTCACAGGAATGAGTTCTCAAAATAGCATTGCCAATGCTTCCCCAAGCTCGAACACGCTGAGCGCAAGCACAACTTCAACCTCTACGGTTCGATCGCGCCCTCGCCGCTTAGTTTCATTCACGGACGACGGAGACGACAGCAATAATGCTACGAACTACTCCTACCAGGACGATGTCCAACCATTTTCCTCGGGATTGTCAACGACTCTTGCGCCCTCCGAAGGTGGAATGACTCGATCCCGCGGAGCGACCCCCTCGCCATTGTCATCCCGTGGAGCATCACCACTTCCAATGAGACACCCATCACGCGCGACCGAATCAATCAATCGTGGTACTCGCAGTGGGCCAACATCGTTTGCTTGGAGTGGGCCATCAAAAGCCTCATCGTCGGGAGGTCCTGCGGACTTTCTAGACTCCTCATGGTCCTCTCTCCAAAGCCTGGCATCTTCAGTACTGGGGAGTGATGCTGGACGAGTCACTCCGAATAATGCGACAAAGAGACACACGCGAAGGAAGCCATCTCGGTCTGACGTATATAGTAAGAGTGCACCTAGGTCGACGTGGGGTCCATCGGCACCTGCCGCTCCGCAATTCGGAACTGGGACAAAGGAGGAGCGACAGGCTCTAGTGCAGGCCAAAAAAAGAGAAGCTTTGCTCCTCGCTGATAGTGATCCGATCGCAAGCCGTACACTCCCTCACAAAAGACGCGACTCCGGCGACGTTTCATACCAAGCGTCTGAGCCGGAGCACGATGAAGACGCTCTGGCCTATATCCACAAAGTGCAGCCCACAGACACTATCACCGGCGTGACGATCAAATATGGCTGCCAGGTTGCCGTGTTCAGGAAGGCGAACGGTTTCTGGCCCAACGACAACATTCAGAGCAGAAACACTGTTCTTCTGCCAGTCGATGCATGCTCCGTGAAAGGCCGGCCTGTTCCCAAGGAGCCTGTAGATCTTTTGAGCAACAATGACGAAGACCCTAGCGACAGCTCGATAGCCCCAACGGCTGCCTCTACCGATGATATTTCAACTGAACAGGATACATCCGCAACTGCGTCTGGGGCCGATGGGAATCATGCTTGGAAGCATGAATCGTGGGTGCATATGGATGGGTTTCCCGGACCAGTGGAAATTGGCCGTGTTCCTCGAAGAGCATTGGGATTCTTTCCGCGTACGCGTCGAAAATCTATATCTTATTCAGACGCAGAACCTCCCGACTTTTACCGAGAAACAATCACTGCTCCGTCTCCCGCCGGATCGCCACCTCCACCGTCATCCTTCGGCATACTGCCACGAACTCGACCAAACGGCGGTCAGCCAAAACCGAAAACCACACACCCCAATCGTCCTCAGCATCGCCGCCAACGCAGTAGTATCCAGCTGTCTGGCACGGGTGTGGGAACACTTGACCCCACCTCGACTGGTCCAGGCCCTGCATTAGATGGGTTCACCAGATTCTTCGCACAGCACATACCCCATCTCGCGCTGGCACATCCTCCGGACAATGCCCGGACAGCTTCCTTTGACTCCACATCCAGTATCGCATCCAATGCATCGACTGGCCTCGAGAACATTGGCGGGGCTTTTGAGGGTTGGGTTCGAAAGGTAGCGACGCGCGCCAAGGCCAGTATCAATGAGCTTCAGCAAGGACCACCCACGCAGCAGGGTAGCAGCAGGGGTCGTAATATGTGGCGGATGGATGACTTAATCGAGCTTGACGATGGGATGATGGATGGCCGGAACTCCCCCAGCCCGTTCAAGGGTACATCGCGGAGGTCTGAGTTACAGGGCACCTCATCCTCATCCTCATCCTCATCTAACCGATACAACAGCCCTTCGGTGGTGGCAGCGAGCAGGTCTCGTGCGACTGGATTTGGTTCGGGCTCCGGTTCATCTGCCTACGGCGAGCGGGTCAAGGATGATTAACATGTTTGAATTTTCAAGCGTACATAATAAGAGTCTCCGCGTGTGTGTATTCTTCGGAGTTCAAGATTTTTGCATTTCTTTTCTTCATCCAACTTTTTTTTCCTGAGCGGCTTGGTGTTTTTGTTCCCACTTTGGCGTTGCCTTTTTCCAATCCCAGGTCACACCAATAATTGGGCATCGGAGCATCGCATGTATGTGAAGTTTGGATAGGACAAGGTGAACAGAAGCATTCCCCTTGTCATCTCTTCTCTTGGCATGTTGGATGTACACTATCTTCAACGCTCTTGTTGCTGCTGCAGCGCTTTTTCCCATGTCTCGCCGGCCTTTCAGCTGATGCTCCATTATATAGAACAACATTTTCCAGATAGACTAGTCGCTCTGCAGTGATATGCGTCGAGCTTAGTTTCGTCTTATTTTTCCGTATTAAGGGACCTTCCGACTTCAATGGGAGTATACCCAAATGCTGACACTAGAAAGATCAGTCGCTCTCCACCCTTGTCCTGGAATTTGGTCTTTATTTTCCTACCTATGAGCGCCCAGGCGCCAAAGATCACAGCTCATCCCCAATGACAGACGAGTTGTTGATAGTGGGGTTACTTAAATTGTGATTCAATTTCCCGGGATAGGGGATGTCCAGTTCTTCATGGTCTGAATTTGAGCATCTACTTTGTAGGCAGGTTGGCAGCTAACGAACTATATAAGAGTGATTTGGTTGTTTTGACTCTTCCCCATCCGGGTTGAGAACTTTGAAGATGTGGTCGATGAGAAGAGCGTCGATACTCCTTTCAACCTTGTTCCTCCCCATAGTTTCCAGAGCAGTAGCCAACCCCCTCTCATCCAAACCCACAGGGACCAGAGCGAACTTCCCGACAGCAACCCTATCAACAACCAACAAAACCTCAAAGACTATCTTTGTGGGCCGCTCTCTTCCAGAGTCCAACCAGGATCTCTTCCTGGGCATCAATATGCCGACAAGCCAATCCGCTTCACACCAGCCGAGGTCAAGAGCGCCTATGTATCTGAGGATAGTAATGCTGGACCTTATAATCAATCCCTAGCAGGACTGAGTACTACTTCCAAGTCAGTATACTACAATGCTATGGAGTACGGCTACGACTGTCCTGGATATGGATCCAATACCACCAACATGGTTAACAAGGGTCTTATCACTTTGAATGAAGACTGCTTTAACTTGAATATAAGCCGACCAAATTCTGACGAGATCATGGATTGCGTCCAGTTATGATCTGGATTTTCGGTGGTGGGAGGTCACAGGGCGCTACTGCGGATCCGAGGTATGTTGGTCGATGAATATATGGCTAGGTATGAATATTCATGCCCGGCAAGGGTGCTGGATGGTTGTGGTTATCCTTATGCTACAACATCTGCAGATATAATATGAGCTATATTGTGGAGCAGAGCGCATTGAACGGCAAGCCAGTTCTGGGTGTTTCTATCAACTACCGTCTAGCGACATTCGGATTCCTTGACTCGAAGGAAGTCAGGGCAATGCCACTATATACAGACTTGGATGCGGCGGATTCTTGATACTAACTTGAACTCTAGGCCGAAGGTAACACCAACCGAGCACTGCGTGACCAGCGCACAGCTATGCGCTGGGTGAAGGAGAATATCAAAGCATTCGGTGGTGATCCGAGCAAGATTACTATCTGGTGCGAGTCTGCGTGAGTCACAGGAAATACATCTTCGGTATATCAGATGCTTATTCTCAAATAAGCAGTGGTGCATATAGTGTTGGGGCCCACCTGGTGACCAACGACGGCGATAATGAGGGTCTTTTCAGAGCTGGAATAGTCCACTCCTACCATTTGTCTCTAACACAAGACTAAGCTCGACTAGCAATTATGGATTCTAGAAGTGCCGTCGGGCCCCCATAAAATGGAACAAATGGCACCAGCCAATGTACAACCGAATCGCCGAGGGTGCCGGGTAAGTCAATGTCGAACAAGTTGAAGCTGATATACTATATCCAGATGCACCAATTCAACGAATACCCTACAATGTCTCCGCGAGCTGCCCTACACAACCTTATACAGCATTGCAAGCGAGGGTCGAATGGCTTGCTACTGTCGATGGCTCATTCATAGCCCAGTATCCGCAAATCGGCTACAAAGAAGGCAAATTGGCCCGAGTGCCTATCTTATTAGGGACAAATACCGACGAGGGTACCAGTTTCGGGACGACAGGCACAAACACCGAAGAGGATTGTATCAATGAATTGACAAGTAAGTGCTCTGAATAGCATGATATCATTCATGCTAAGCGAGCACGACAGCATCCAAGCGCTGGGTCCTCAACCGTTCCCAAGCTACCCAGTTGCTATCCTATTACCCCAATATTCCCGCCAGTTGAACCACATCTAGGACCTTTCCATCTACTACTCACGAACCGTGACCCCCCAGATATGTAGTCATCGCCCCCATTCCCTGCCCTTTCCCTCCCCCATTCCTCCTCGAGCTCCGCAGTCAACGGATCGGCGCCAGGCTCAGCGAAAATGCAGAAGTATTCCCTCTTGTCTTCGGAGTTCCGGTCCCATGGGAGGATAAACTTTCTGCCACCGACTCTGATAAACCTCGCCGTGGCGTCTGGTCCGAGTTCTTGACGAAGCTCAAGAAGATGGTAATGTCCAAATTTGAACTTGTTCGCACAGTCGTCACTTCCAAACTCCAATTTTTGAAGCATCTCATTGCAAGAAATCAAATATCGGTGATATTGCTGTCTCTTTTCTTGCGGCCGTTTTCGTCGTCTTGCCGTAGGTAGAAGCACTGAACCTTCATAGCAAGACTGTAGTCAGGTTTCGAGATCTTAACTTCCTCGACAGTGAGACAATGTGGGCTAGCTTGTTCAAAAGTAATCCTCTGAACGGCAATAGTAAGAATGTCGAGTGAAGGTGAGAAGCCGGAATGCTTAAATCGGAGCTGGCCGTTTTCATTTGGAAAAGCTTCGTCTGCAGCGAGTAAAGAAAACAGAGCGGCAAGATCTTCACTACTTGAAACAGGGATGTCGACATCACTGGTGGCTCGCTGGCTCCCTAGAAATATGTGGACATCATTCGTGGTAGACCTAGATCCCAATGGACATGGTGGTTAGTAGAACACGCGTGTGGCTTGATTGTGTTGTCTGGAAGCTGACTGCGTTATAGTGTCTGATGTTGCCAGATGGCCCAAGTATTCGTCCCGCGCGACGAACTTTGTTTTCCGCTTACCCCGAAATGAGAGCTATGTCGAGGCTGACACGTACCGTGTCGACGGGATTGATCATATCAATACCATCGCGCGGCTGATTTGGAGGTGAAGGCAAGCTAGGCTAGAGAATCTACAGTGTGTATATGAACACGGTAAGCGAATTCAGACATGTGCTAGTCCATTTGACTTTCTTCGTCGGGGTAACGAGTCAAATCAATGGGCAGCGAAGAGACCAAGCTTTGATTTTGCTATCCAAGTAGCCTGTCGACCATATGAGACAAGTAGGAATGATTCAAGTGGTTCTTTTTCCTCGTTTGTTATTTCCATATCTTATATCTGGCCGGAAATTCGGGAATAGCGATTGATTTAAGCACTCTTCGTGCCGATCTTGAGGAGCTCGACCTCGCTGTGAACAGTTAGTTTAGTTCTTTATAGCTGGGTAGCATGGAGTGGGGACAAAAAAATATGAGTTACTCACAAGACAAGCTTAGAGTTGGGGGGGATCAGGCCGGGGAAGCCACTAAAATAATTTGATATCAGCACAAGTCTCACAAGAAGGGCCAAATGTGCAAGCTGGAATTGTGAGGCATTGGAAGTGTCGGGTAGGCCACAGATTGTCGATTCAGAATTGGCCTTGGTTGGTACGTACCGCTCAGCATAGCCGAAGTCACTGTCGAGAATCGAATATTAGCAGTGTTCAGTAGATCAGCGCAAAGGCGCAAAGGAAAGTTCAAAACGGCAACTCACGAGCTGATGGTCAGGATGGCCTTCTCACCGAGGGACATCTTGGGGACACCCTCGTCCCAGCCTATTCATCAAGTTAGCGAGCTGAAAGAGGCTACCTGTCTCACATAAGACTCAGTCTGGATATATTGAAACGCACCCCGAATAAGACGACCGACACCGATGGGGGTGGCAAGGGGACCACGGCCGGGCTTGTGGGAGCTGTCGAATCTATTCAAGGACATATTAACGCGTCGGTCACCTCGAGGTGGCATGGAGATTTGGCTTACACTTGGCCCATGAAGTGGTTGTCGGCCTTACTTTCGTCATATAAGCAGCCGGTGTAGTGGATGGCAACGTGCTCGCCCTTCTTAGGGTAGTCAACACCGTTGCCCTCGACCAGAGTCTCCTTTTCAACGCCCATTGTGAATGTAATAGAGAGATTTGTCTAGGATGAATATGCGAGATGTGAAGAGAAGAAGCAAAAAGGAAGACGGGGGGGAAGCTCGGGAGGGGCAGATAATCCACTTTTTTTCCTCGGAACACGACGTAATGAACTTCAAGTGTCTTTGAATGAGATTGTTGCTGTCTTTCGATTATTTTATTGCCTATCACTCTTATTATAGACTATGCACCTATCTATCTACTCAATCGGAACTTCTGGTTAGTTTCAGGAGTAGAATACTCCGAGAACTGGTTCGAAACCGGGTTATATTCATGACATGGTCGCTTGGCTTGCTTGGAAACAGCTGGGAATAGTTGAAAGTAGCGGCCGTACTCTACAATATACAGAGAGATGATCTGCGTAAGACGGGGAAATTCGTGGGTTTTGTGAGTGCCACATGGGTGAAATGGTTGGAATCTCTTACAATGTGACGATGTACAACGGGATCAGACCAATCAGTCCTTTCCCTCAGACTAGAGAGAAAGGATCATCCTATTTGTACCCTCAATACCCCGCGGAGGGCTAATGGCGGGGAAAGCATCCCCGCGATGTTAACCCCGGAGCTGTTCTCTGACTCTGACATTGACCTAGGTATGATAGTAGAAGTATCAGAGAGTACAAGGCGAAATCTCATGAATATACAGCGTAGATCTTAAAATCATGACCAAAATGCCATCTTCCTCACGTCCTCTACTGAAATCTCCACAATTTGTGTCTTAGGGAACCGAGCATCGGGCACAGGAGATGGCACCGAATCTTCCAATTGTAGATAATGCAGCGTTGAAATACCAGCGCGATCCAGAAAATCAAGCATGGGCCGGAAGTTCAAAGCAACCTGGTCGACGCCATGGCTGTCATCAGATAAACAGAAGCGACCCTTACGCGCCACGAATTCCTACAACCATCAAATCAGCCATAAGATGTTTAGCAAAGGGACATGTACTTGCCTTGCAAATCTCCGCTTTAGGATATGGTTCAGTCATTCCCTTGCGCAACGCAGCCGAGTTGAGCTCAAGAATCCCGCCGTATGAGGCAATAAAATCCAAGTTCCGTAAAATCTTACTCCAGACACCAGGCCAGGTAGTAAAGCTGCGCTCCATGTCATCGCTCTTCAGACGAATTAAATCAAAATGACCCACGACGAGTGGTTTGAGCTGCTTCAACATATCCAGCTGTGCATCGAAGTAGTCCTCGAATAGTCGCTCATCTGTTCCACCGGCTTTGTCTCGAGCCTGGGCGTACATAGGCTGGTCATAGTCAATTGGCACGGTGTGCATGTGGTGAACCGAGCCAACGAAGAACTCGAAGGGGAACCGTGAAAGTGAGCGTTCGATCAAATCTTTAGACGCGGGTCGGATCCAGTCAATCTCGAAGCCGATGATGATCTTGATCTGGGAGGCGTATTTCTCGCGGAGAAAGACCGCTTCCTTCCAGTAAGCCGCTTCGTTTGCGGCATGGCTTTCTTCTGTATTGCCAGATTCCAACTGGATGATTGGTTAATGCAGGATTCTGCGGTGGATGTGTTCCTTACCCACTTCCTCGGGATAGAAATCTTCTTTATGGCGGGGCATATGTTCGGTCAGACAGAAGACCTGCATCTTCTTGCTGATGGCAGTTTGAATCACATCTTCCAATGAGTTTTGGGCATGGCCAGGGCAGAATTGGCCCGAATGACTATGGTGCGAGAATGGCATGTTTTATTGATGTCACTGCGACTTGTAGTTAGCACAATATCCGAAGTGAAGGACGGATTGTTAGAGGGGCAGGAATGGGCTGAACAGTAAACACAGATTTCATACTCACATTTGATTTTTAGGATGTTGTACTGAAGAATATGAAATATGCTGGTTACGCGGGGGAGTCAGACATCTGGAATTGATAGACGATAAGGATTTCTGTGCCGTTTTATAGCTAACAAGTAACACTTCTATAAATGGCTACATGTACCTATGGATATAATACTCAATATTTCAATATACGATTTCCGATTGGTCCTTAGATCTATACTTTCACAATTTATTTCTTTAATATACCCAATGAAGATGTTGCTTCCAGCCATTCCCGCTATCTACCTAGGCGTCGCTGACCACAAGCGGGCACAGTACATTCATATCGGACACCAATGATGACGTTCCAGAGTGAAGCGCGCACTGCCATTGGAGTTTGGGATGTACCTCGACTGGCACGGCTCAATTGCAAGCATTGGGCCAGATCAATTGAACCAGATGCAAACCATGTTAAACCCTTAACTCTCTCCAAACCCACTCTAACTAGAAGAGGACGAGTGCCTGGGAGTTCGCCAGTAGTTGCACGCTGACAAAACCAACGGCGTACCAGGCAAATGACTGCTTGCCGTCCGGTGCCGGGCCAGCCGCAGCCTTAAGAGACTGAGTGAACAAGCCACAACAGTTGCAATGAGAGTCAACCAATAAAGCGGAGTCCAATAAACCCAGCAATTCATCCAACAGCCAAAACAGTAGCGACAACATACTCCCCATCATGCGAGATCGATAACTTTGCAACTCTCCCGTCACCCGCATCCCCATCCAGCGCATTCCCAAGATAAACAACCTCAGGCCTCCGACTTACACCCTTCCCAAACATCCCCCCGTCCTCCTGAACCCGGACCATGACATCCTTCCAGCCAATCGAGGCCGCACCAGAGGGTGCCGCTTTCCGCGCCGCCTCCTTCGCCGCGAAGCGTCCCGCCAGCCAGCGCGTTATGTCCGCTGGCACGGGTGGAGGCTGTTGGTGGTATGCGGCCCGTGCTTTGAGGATTTCGCTGAAGCGCGTGTGGAAGTCGTGTTGTTCTTGGTCGCAGAGGATGCGGCGCGTGAATCGTGGGAGGTAATTAGGTCGGGCGAGGAGGCGGGATATTCGTGGGATGTGGACGATGTCTGTGCCGATGTTGAGGGAAAATGGGAAGGGGTGGGTTTTCATTTTGGATTCTGGGGTTATTGGTAGGGGTGTGGGATATTTGTTGTGTGGGTGAAGTGGTAGGAAGGAGGGTGGTGTTGGAGACCTCGGGATAGCCGATGAGCTTTCTAAAGTTGATTTGAGTAGCACTTGAACTGCTTAACTCATTGGAGGTCATTGATCGTGTATGGATGTCGCGTGCGACCATTCATGCTTGTTCTATGCTGTTTACATCTACCTAGGTAGTTACATCTTCTCATTTTGCTTTACGGTCCCTCGTTGCTAATGCGCTCCTACTGGCCGGACAAACAAGGTCACCAGAGCTGCATAGAGAAATACTCATGCCAGGATGAAAATTCACAGATGGCTCTTGTCAGGCACAGACTCCGAGCGACCCGGTGGGATTTTGCGTTGAAGCAATCGTACCACGCTTTCTTCTGCCGCGATTGATCTTGCTCAATGGCAGGGAGAAGAACAGACCCAAAGAACAAGCGTCAAGAGGATAATTTTCTATGCAGCGTACAAGCCTCCTATGTACAGATCAATCAACCTCATCCGCCGACATCCCAAAACCGGTTCGTTTAGCTTCTCGAAAAAACCGTGATCACAAAAAAAGCTGTGGAAGGGCGGATACAAGTCGTTGTGCGCTAGAAATGGCAGGAGAGCGGAGGCAGTTTTATTGAATTCAGAATCCTAGCTGCTCATGTTCGACCGCTCCATCAATATAAACCGTATCGAGGGGTGGTTTAGTGGCCAGCGGCGGGCTTCTTCTCGCCGCCATCAACCTCCTTCATGAAGTTCCTGTGAGATATGCAGTCAGCAACACGCTCGGGCGCTGATCTCGAGATCAGATTCATAGTTGGCGGTTCTCGGTTATCCGTGATCGTTTTGGACATACTGGACGAAGTTCTCCTCATCCTTAGAGGAGGCGTTGATGGGAGGACCCTGAGCGGTTTTGGGCTTCTCACCACCGGACATAGCGAGCCAGGAACCGGCGAACATGCTGCCGAGAGTGGCCATGGCGAGCTAATGAGGGGTTGAAGGGAGCACGGTCAACTTATATGTTTCACAAGTACCCGAACGAAGCGCGAGGAGAAAGGGATAGCGAGCGCGCAGCGGCGTTTTTGGGGGTAGTGTAAACTTACAACGTGGGAGCCGACCTTCTTGCCGGCGATCTGGTAGTAGACAACCATTTTGTAGGGTTGGAATTGAAGTTCAGCGAGGTTCAATTGGCAGCGATGTGGACGGAATCCTCAGGCTTGGGCCAAACGACGAGGTCGGCACATATACCGCCTTTCCTGATTTGGTTAGACAGTTCACATGACTTCGGAACTATGGATGATTAGGTAAGGACACGGCCACCCTGCCCAGGTGGGCACCCGGCTGCATCCGGTATCATGTGACCTCCCCGGAACGAAACGTCGCAGGTGCATTGGCATATGAAGATCAATCAACACCAGAACACCAAAAAGGGTTAGAAACCGAGGAAGAGCAAAGCTCAGGCAAGCTAAATCTCAGATCGAAGCTTCGACGATGAACAATAAATGTTGAGTCCGGCCTCGGAGCATCATTTCGTATATTACTTCTACCCCAGAGCCCGGGCCGGAGGATACTAACGGTACCTCGGAGGGAACTATCCCACAGCTAATGCTGCATATCCCGGCAATGGCTGTGTCTTCGGCTGTAGTGCGCGGTTAATATGAAAATCCTCAAATAATAACTCGTCTCCTCCCTTGCATAGCCTTCCCTCATTGTTCTCTTTTAGTTTCTTCATATTATATACCACTTTCGACTTGATTTCCCGTCATTTGGCAGGCAAATAAGCATTGCTTTGTTTAGAACGACTACATAAGTCATCATTGACCATACCATACTACATTTACAATGGTCTGGGGCGGTCGTCAACAGGATGAACCCCAGTCACCCCCGCAGGAGTTGTTGGACAAGCCTATAGTCCGAGAGAAGCTCCCCGCAAAATTGCAACAATTGGTTGATCGCGAAGACGAGTTCTACGATGACCTCTATTCCCAATAGTATGTGAAATTCTAATTCTTCTATACTTTTTTTGGTTTCCAAGCAAATTGCTGTTGCTGTCGCGTGCTCTGAAAGATGGGAGGGAGAGAAAGCCTGAAAAGGAAGGCCGTGGAGCGGTACTTCCCGGCTTGGGTCGATGACATACTACTCCGCAAGCTCACCTCGAGCAAATCATCTCAACGCCAAAGGCAAGCATAGACAAAAAGAAAACTAACGATGGGCACCTCGATCGACGGCAGCTCGGTGGACTCCACAGACACAGGGTTCCGCTATGCCGCGTACGCCAACCGCATCCGCACGATCCTCCTGTCCGCTCATCGATATGTCGCCTACACTTCAGACATCGGCGAGTCCTTCCGTCCGATTGCACACCCATGGCTCGTGCGCTCTGCCTACACTATCTCCTGGACATACCTGCTAGGCGATGTTGGCCACGAAGGCTACAAAGCCTATCTCCGGAACTGGAAGGCACTGGCTCCCACCGGCGAAGCGTACAAGGATGCTAGCCAGCCTTCGCAGAACCAGATTATCAAGGGCATGGCGACGGGCAATATGACGATTGGTAACTCGGCCGTGTCCAAGAATGAGCTTCCAAACTGGCCGACCCCGGAGATCCCGCTTGCGGAGGACTACCGCATGGTCATGGCCAAGCGCGCGGTGTTCCAGAGTATCGCGAGTATGGGATTGCCCGCATTCACAATTCACAGTGTGGTCCGCTACTCTGGCCAGATGGTGAAGGGTGTCAAGATTGCCTTCATTCGTACCTGGACGCCGATCGGTGTATGTACCGTTTTCCTTCCGGTCGAAAACGCGAATTGGTGAATATGATGCTAACGACGGTTTCCTGTAGCTTGGTCTCGCCGTTGTCCCCTTCCTTCCCTATATCTTCGATCACCCCGTCGACGAAGCTGTTGAATGGGCATTCCGCACTGGTCTTCGTGCTTACGGTGGCGAAGCAGCCGTACGCCCACTGCCAGGCAAGAGCCTTCCTCCTCGCGAAGAAGAGGAAGTCCGTGCTGCGGCAGCGGCAGATCTCTCCTGGGACGAGTACAAGGCTGAGCGAGAACGAGCGCGTGAGCTCCGTCGTCAGTCAAGTGAGAAGGCCGGCGGTGGTGGAATTGCATCGCTGACGACCTGGTTTGGAAAGTCTGAATCGGAGTCGGATAAAAAGAAGAAGGAATGAATTCAATACGCCAGCTTCTATTCATCGTTTTGACTGAAGGGCTTCCTTTGGCTGCTTCTGTCTCTCTTGCGTGTGGCCGCATCTCCCCTACCACTTATTGTACACATCATTTCCCACTCTGATCCCCTATTTCTACTGATATCCACTGGGTTTGCTTATGTACTTACACCCAAATATCGCCACATTGCTAATTTATCTCGAAGTGAGGACCCTTTTCCAATTTCTATTGTCATGGATGTAGCTAGTGAAGATTGTCTTGATGTTATATCAAGGAGATGAAGAACATATCCGGTCACTCCTCCAAAGAGCAGTCGTTGCAGCATGGGGTGACGTCTTCGTAGACCTCACCCATCGAACCATATATGCCCTCCCAGCAGCCAGAAATAATAGGCTCAATCAGCAACAGAGGGAAACTGTCTCCTAGGGACCAAATCTTCAACTGCACTCTTTCCTGCCATCTCCATCGTCTCTACCAATTGTTAGATATAACTTTGGTACCTCGATCTAGAAGAGTGGACCGGAAAGTAAATATATCCGGTTGTACGCTGATATCATTACCCAGTTAATAGTTACACCATTCGTAGCAAACTGGGACATCTTCTCCTTCAATGCTAGAACCGGTGAAACCAATAACCTTGATACGGCCAAATTGTTGGTAAGCGGAGATTAGAATGTCGAACGCCTGAGACTCGAACTCTGTGGTGGGACGGCCGTCTACTCGTCAATGGCATAGATCGTGCTGATCGTCGCAGCAGCGAGGAAAGACATTCCTTTGGTATTGGGCAGTATGTTTTCCATCCGTGACAGTCGAATAAAGACCAAATCTGCTGAAAGGGCAGAGAGTTTGGACCACGCTTCTGCGCAGAAGATTGCAATACATCTAATCACCTGGAACTACAGACGCCGATTGCCTACATCGAACTTGACTGCTTTCATTGGCTTTGCATCAACATTTGAGAGTTGAAATTAGAATCTCGAAGATCGGACATCATCAATGAAAGATCTGCCTTATTGAACAAGCAAGCTCTCCAAGGGTCACTAAACTATAGAATTGAGGTCTAAATACACTTGGTCCTAGACGGAGTCGGGTTAGTCTGCTTCGAGAACCCATGGTTCCAAATGGAGGAACTTTGGTAGACCCCACCTCCTTGGTTTGGAAGCACAACCTTCTTTTTGCTCTTTAATTTTACATCACTTATCCTTGTAAAGTAGCGTCTGTCACTGGACTTTGTATTCTCTTTTTCAGTAGCATATGCTATTATCACAAGCGAAGAAATGAAATATCCAAACAGTCACGCGTCATCTCGCACGTCAAAGCCCTCCACCCGAACTGACTTAGCCTGATACTGCACAATCAAGCGAGCCAGCTTCAAGCGATCGTCCCTACCAAGTGTCTGGATCCTCTTACAGGGGTTCTTCACAATCAAACCATCGTAATCATGCTGAAATTCCACCTCTGCCTCCCATTCATATGTCGGGCTCCGCTCCCTGAAGTAATTCGGCCGGCCATGCCTCATAACGACCTCGTATGATTTGCGAAATTCTTGAGATCTTCCAGTCTTAATTTCCCCATTTGACAGTACCAACACACTTGAATGCCATGGCATGTCACCAAACAGGTCACCCTGCCGCAGTAGGGGAATAGAGATCTTGTTTCGCCCTAATGAAGGGTGAATCGAGAGACGGATGTATTTTCCGAGTGTAGCGTTAATTACAGCTTCATACGCCTGAGAAAATAGTGAGCCAGGGAGTCAGGTCTTTAGGACAGCCAAGCCAGCAAGTATATATGGCATTGAAACTTACGATGAGCCGGTTGATCATAGTCTTCGCCATCTTCGACACTAAAGCCGCGTAGAGCGCCGGGTCGGCCGCGACAAGAGGGTCAAACCCTTTGGCCCATTTTAGATCCTCTGAGATGCGACCGAAATAGCTCTCGTATGTTGTCTTCGTATCTGGATTTGTTTTCAACTCACGGTCGATGTCAAATCTCGGATCGAAATATGTGGGTGACATCAGTTTCTCCCTGCAGGTGGGGACCAGACGCAAGTAATCTGCCTTGGGTATTTTCTCGCCATCTCCTAACCCTAGCAAATTCATCAGCCGGATAAATTGGATGGAAGAAAATTGCTTCTCTTGGGCGATTTTCCGCAGCTCAATGCCATAGTCGTAATATTCGTCGTCGGGAACGCCGACCAAGTCTACACTGTCAGTCTTTTTTCATTCTTGATAATTATATCACCGCTGGGTTGATATAAGAAATGACATACCATTATACACTGGTCCGTCACAAATGAGGATTAGCCGCGCGCCGTAAGGGTAGACCTTCGAGATATCCTCGCACAGGTGATGCAACCTCGCCAGGCCCATTTCTTCTCCCAGATCAGCTCCATCTCCTAGCACTTTGTCCTGGTTTGGGCTCTTCCATGGAAATGCAGGTAAGACCATGGTGATCGGCTTGTTTGCGGTGATATTGGTCTTCAGCTTCTCAGGCACGGACTCAAACACCCTTCCAACGTCTTTCTGATGGCCATCTTTGCTCGAATGCAAGCAAAACCGCTTTAATACCTCGACGACTTTCTGGGGTACATCATCTGGAGCATATTCAAAATCCATTGTTAATAGAATGTAGAGAAATTGGTGGATGTGTGCAGCGACATGAGACCGTAGCTGTTCGGGTGTTATTGTTATCCCTCCGCGTCAAGATCAACATCCGATTGAAATGACATGTAGTTCACGGTATTTTATTAAGTTTTCTGCCCAATATATATGTATTCTTACCTGCAGCAGTACCTGTAACCCGTAAGAAACTGGAACGTATCTGCAAGATTTCTTTGCAGGGAGCGGGTACATTGACTCCACAATGTACGTAGCCACATTTTAGATTCAACTCTCATATACTGCCCACCTCCCACTTTATTTCCCAAGGAGATATTTGTTTTTGCTCCTTGGAACCCAAACAATATGGGACAGCCAAATATGTCACAGAGCAATGCGGCCGGAGCATGCTTGACGGCCGCCAGTTCGTCTTACACAACGTCGGCCACTACCCGTACTACTCTTACCGAAGAATCCCCGCTATTTATTCACCCAGATCCCGGTCAACAAGACGAAGATCGCAAAGCCCGGAATAGTGAGATCCCTGATGGGGGCCTCTTGGCCTGGACACAGGTTCTGACTGGACACCTGGTTGTGTTCAATGTATGGGGCTATATTACATCGTAAGGGAGCCGTGTGACATCAGAGGTCAATACCAACTTTGACGCAATATAGATACGGCTTTTTTCAGGAATACTACGTCAAAACTCTCGATGTCAGCCCAGCGAATGCATCTTGGATCGGAGCGGTGCAGATGTTCCTTGTCCATTTCCTGGCCACTGTCTCAGGCCGAGCGATGGATGCGGGTTATCTAAGACAATGTATCACCCTTGGGTGTTTCTTTCAAGTCGCCGGAGCATTGGCGACCTCATTTGGCACAAAGTTATGGCATTTTTGGCTAGCGCAAGGAATCGTCAGTGGAATTGGCCACGGGCTCGTCTTTAGCCCCATGATCTCGCTGTATGCGACATACTTCAACTCCAAGCGAGTGATGGCCGTCTCACTGGCTTCTTGCGGTGCAGCGACTGGAGGGATGGTTTTCCCAGTGGTTGCGTACCAATGTTTCGACAATATTGGCTTCGCATGGACTGTCCGGATCATGGCGGCCATTATCCTGTTCAACAGCGTTATAATTGTCAAGTTTACCAGATCTCGGATTATACCTCGGAGTCCTCCTCCCTGGGTTGATTTCAGCGCATTCTGTGAACGCCCTTACCTCCTTTTTTCGATCGGCTCATTCCTGATCTTCGAGGGTATTTACTTTGCATACATCTATGTAAGTTTTGTTTGGTTTTGCATTGGTTGATGGCATAACAACTAACGACATCTACAGCTCAGACAATATGCTCAGGCCCACACGGGCTTCACCGCATCTGACTCACTTCTTCTTCTAATCCTAATGAACGGCGTTGGTGTTCCATCTCGCATTGCATCTGCATTTGTGGCAGACCGGTGGCTGGGTGCGGTAAGGACTTGCATTGCAGTCTCTATCCCTTGCGGCATCGCCATTCTAGGGTGGATTGGTGTACACACACACGTTGGCATGTTTATTTGGGCCACAGTCTATGGGTTACTTGTTAATTGTGCGCAAAGCCAATTGCCCGCTGCCAATGCGTACTTTGGATCCAAAGACCCGGAGAAGTCCGGCACACGTGTTGGGATGATCACCACGATCAATAGCATTCCACTACTGACTGGACCGTATATAGCAGGACAGCTGATCGCGTTACGGGGAGGTGATTACCTGTACGCGCAACTGTTCGGGGGTATTTGCATTTTAACTGGAGCGTTGTTTGTGGTCGGGTCTCACCTTTCGGGGGCTTGAAATTACAGTACATGCATAGATATAAATATATATCTAGATAGACAGTAATGCAGTGTATCTACTTGTCTTACCCCGAGGATGACGAACATCAAGTCCTGAATTAGGTATTACCCTTTAAGCCACATAACATAGCCTACTTGTTTAGCGTGTTACCCTATATTAGCCATCCTCACATAAACGATATGAATGTGAATGCATTTCCCCTTGGCTAATTACGTCAACTGACCTCGGAATACTCTTGACTCGACAAAAAGTGTGTGATCTGCTTTTTTTCGGAATGACCTCCCTGCCACCACGTTTTCTCCAGCTCTTCTCACGGGCCTCCACCAACGGAGCATTACACAAAATGGCCCTCAGACCTCTCCATTACCACCTTCCGTTGTTCCCAGGATTCCAACTGCTGGACGTTGCGGCCCCACTGGACATTCTCAACATTCGCACACAGTACCCTGACACATCAGCCATCACCCTGACTGTATCAGCCGCAACTCTTGACCCGGTTTCAGTGAAACCAATCCCTCCTCCCAAGGCAAAATGGCGATTTGATCTACCCGACCCAAAGCTCAATACAGCTTGCAACCAACAAATGTTGCCGCAATGTACATTCGCTGACGTGATCTCTGCCCTGAAAGCGGGGAAAGTTGCCGACGATGGCAGGGGTGAATTCAAACCGATCGATGTATTGATCATCCCAGGTGGCCCGGGAACACGTCTGACCCGTATTTACAACACTAATACTACATTCGATAAAGTCAAAGTCTCCAACACGCAGGAGGTTCAGGACTTTCTGACAGCGGTTGCGCCCTTTGTCCGCCATAGCATCATTACTGTTTGCACGGGCAGCCATGTTCTCTCGCAGACTGGGCTTCTAGATGGACGCCAGGCAACAACGAATTCAGCCCGCTACAATCATATCTCTAAACAGATTGGCGATGTGAAATGGCAGCGCAACAGACGGTGGCTGCGTGATAGTGTTCCCAAAGATGCGGTGTCTGACGGCCTGTCATTGTTACCTGGGATTGAGCTATGGTCATCTGCTGGAATAACTGCAGGGATTGATGTAATGCTGGAGTTTATTTCGGCGCATTATGGTGGTATCCAAGTCGGGATAGAGACTGCGAAGCGCATGGAGTATCGCTGGGAGCGGGAGAAGGGGGCTTCTTACTTCTTGTGAATGGGTTGCCCAAAAGAGGTCACCAAAGTACAGATGAGCTTAATCCTCTTAATCAAGGTTCCAAACATTATACTCGATGCGAATGACGGAGGTTTTGGAGATGGAATACTCCCCGTTCTTGGCATACATATAGTTAGGCTGTGGAGGTAGAGCACTTTTAGACACACATGTCATCCCTACCAGTTTCAGTGAGTTGTGTCACTGGTACACGTTATATTTTTCACAGAGAGCAGTGAGTACTTGACCGGCCAGTCTAGCCTCGAGCTCCCCTCTGGATACCCTAGACCTTATGGACTTCGCGTGGTATATCAGCCTTTAGCCGTCAAAAAAATGAAATATCACATCGACATGTTACCTTTTTCTTCCCGGAATATTTTGCCACGGACATTAATTGGTTCCCCTTTTCCCACTATCCTAACCTCTCGTGTAAGTCATTCCGAGTTCTAGCCTAATAGGGAAAAAGCCTGCGTCAGATCATGCATGAACAGTCAGTTCACAGCTATAGAATGCTTTGGTTGAGAGAGCATCTTTGACTGGTCAAACAGTAACAAATTCGTGACACGATGTATTCACGCATAGTATCCCATATTGTTGTTCTCCGGGCCTCTTCGATCAAATTCCTAATCCGGACATATGAAGACAGTCGTACTGCAAGTCATGCACTAGCTTCAGCGCACATGTACAATATAGTCAGACGGTAAACAATACCATTTCTTTTCTTTTCTTTTCTTTTTTTTTTTTTGCGCAATAATAGTTTCCGGTCCAGAATCACCGAAGAGACGTTATCAGAAGTACAAAAAGGACGGGGAAGAAGACGGGAGAAAGGGGGTGGCACATGCAAGTTTGGGCAAGACCTGAGCATAAGAAACCTGGAGCAAAGCGGAAATAGAAAGGCACCAAATTCCAACACAATACGCGAGGGTACCACCCCTATAAGTCCCGAGTACATTCAAATTAATCCACCCCTTCCCAATCCCTAGCTGCAACCCTGACCTCCCCGCTCCCGTCTATCATGAGCTATATCAAAATGCTGGTGACGACGGTAGTCGAGATCTCCGGCCCCCTAAACATACTCCCTTTGGACTGTATCAACTCCACACCAAAGAAACGAGTCTCCTTCCACGCCAAACCGCACGCAGCCCCCCCAAAACCTGAAACCACCGACACCCATCCCGACGCACCGGCAATATGTCCCACATCAATCCGCCTAAAGGCAGAAGAAATAATGAACATTGTGGAGCGCTACGGCTCACATGAGCGCACGACCATCGCTGGAGAATGGCTGGGCCGGTCATCGTTCACGCCGCGCGTGAAGACACACCTCGCAGCCAACAGGCCGATTCCTATGGTTCTACCAGCTTTTCCAATGAAGAGTAATAACCGCATGAACAAGGTGCTAGGTGCGCTTCCGGATTTAGGGGATGAGCTTGGATTGGCGCGGTTGGTGAATCTTTGTCAGGATATTAAGGCTGTTTACCCGCCTGGCGCGGTTGTGGTTATTGTTACGGATGGGATTTGCTACAATGGTAAGATTAAGCTCTCCTATTAATTTGGATGTTAGATACATGATCGGGTCTAATTTGATTCCGGGATTCTAGATCTTACGGGGATTTCTGATGAGGAGGTCTGGGAGTATGGGAATCGACTGCGGAAGATCGCTGTTGAGAAGGGATATGCTTGTATTCAGTTCCATCGTATTATGAATATGCTGGGTCTTTATACTGGTGCCCAGATCTCCAAATCGGATTATGTGAAGCTCTGTGGTTTATCGAGGGTTGAACTTCATCGACGATATGGACAGCCGGGGTTCGACGTCGATAAGTTTTTGAAAAGTGACGAGGACTACCTGAGGACATATAATGGTAAGTATATAGCTTTCATGTATCATTAACCCGCCATGGCTGATTCAATGCAGGATACGACAAGTTCATGAAAGTTGATCTAAAATTCAGTCCGGTGACTAAAGATTGCTCTGGCCCCAAGCAATATAAGAAGAAGATCAAGATTATTGCAAAGGAAATGATTGTCCGTGGAGTGGTAAGTTATTTAAAGCGCCATATAAAGTGACAATATGGCTAATATCATTGGTTACAGGAGTACGCGGAGCTAGTACGCCAAATTTATCCGGACTCACTGCGTCTCTCCATCCATCCCTCGTCAGGACAGACAAAGCTGTCGTTCCCCCTTATCCCACAGAAGAATTCGTTTTCCATGAGTCCCTGGCACTGTAGTGTTGCAGTGACAATTGCGGGTGAATTCATAACAGCTCACCAATCCGCACATCGGCAGAAGTTTGACCTTATTAAGAAGGATGGTCAACCATATTTCTTCCGTGAGAGCTCGCCGCTCTTTAATTGGGACGCCAGAGTTGAATTTGAGCATCATTATGGGCAAAAATTGGTTATTAGGGCACAGAAACAGACTGATCAAGATCTATCTGACTCGGATTTGGACAAGTTGGCACATCTGGCAATCCAACAGAAGAGTGTGTCATTTGTGTCTGTATAATTCCGTACCCCCACAGACACGGTACGTTAGTTTACTATCTTAAGGTTCGATGAATGTAGTTGTATGAGTCTATCAATCTTCGTCTAACCTACAGGATATGTACGAAAGATGTAGCAGTCACGGTAGACTGATATATTGACTTCATAGATAGCGTTATACCTAGAATCTTGCTGTAAATTTATTTCTGTCGTCGCGTATTTAAATTCCTAATATGTCACATTTCTCATAGTGATGTCGTGTGTTAAGTACTATGAAATAGTAGGGAGATTTGTCGTCCACATTCCTGTAAACCTCATCTGGCAGAGAGCGCAGACTAGAGATTGCCAACCCCAGGATCATTCCCCTGGCGCAAATCACCGTTCAGAGAGAGAGCATTTCCGAGGCTCTCTATATCAACAGGAAGATATATATGCTGGAGTGGATCAAGAAGAAAGGGAAGAGATACATTACAGGGAGACCTTCTCAGACAGAATTATGCATCCTACTTCTCTAGATTGTATGGCCAGTTCCCTCGAAGACAGACGTAAATCTGAAAGAGTCGGGTCAGTCAGCCTACCAGAGAACTTTCTATCTGATTTCAGAAGTCTCGTGGATTGTTTGAATGGAGATGAGTTAAACCGAACTTTGATGACGCAAAGACTAATGTTTTCCCACGGAGGACACTCTTGCCGAAGTTGTCAAGGAAATTCGACTTGTGCATTCTATACGCTACTAGTCTGGTATACTGTCTGTCCAGGCTGATGATTGGAGGCCAGTCATAGGAACTGTGATTGAGAGAATGGTGGCAACTTCCCATAGAAGTTTGTCAACCCCCGTTGGGAAATGGAAGTTCCGAGCTATCAGATGGAGACATCCGAATGCTGCCGACATGACGGCCAAAGTTGGAATTGCCACATGCTAATTTTTGATGGTGTCCCAAGAGATCTGCGCCGCAAGCGCTGGTAAGGAACGCGATATTCTCGCGCCCAAGCAGATAGACTGCAATTTCCACCGCTTTTGCAGGCTTCCAAGACCTCCAGGATTCGATCTTCTTCTTCTGCGCAAGATTTACCCATTGCGGTGGTAGTAGTGGCGGCAGCCTAGACAGGAAAACACCACCCGGCGGACATTATCCTGTGTGCGCAAGGGTATACAATCTTTTTAATCCATTTTCTACTACATACGACCATAGGGTGTGGAGAACAGGGCTTCCCGTCCGCTCAGCCGTACTTAAGCCACACGCCGGCCAGTTAGTAGTATGGTGGGTGACCACATGCGAATCCTGGCTGTTGTATGTTTTTATTTTGTTTTTCGCATCTCTCTAGCGGTAGTCTAGGAAGGATGGATGATATGAGTGAGAAGTACGGATCTAGGTGACAATTCTATATCCGTCTCCAACTACAACTATTGATGTCTTTATTCTATAGTTATAACTTAACTAATGCTCTTCGGTGACTAATTTAGGATATACGACCATAGGAACTATAGAAAACAGGATAACTAGGATTTGCAGATCCCAGAGTTTGCGGCTCTAGAAGTCTTGTCCACTTTAGTAGTCTTATCGTCCGGCAATAAATGCTATCTTCATGTTGCGACCCCTTACACAATTTCCAGCGTCGATTTTCCGGCCTGTTGCTCGAAGCGAGAGCAGTAGACAACCCAAACTGAGATGCAACCCCGTTAATACAAAGTGACTTGCTGTTTGTGGCGAAGGAGGTGCGAGAGCGGGGATATCTTTGCGCGAATCTAATTTTTGAAATTGCACCACAACCCCTTGGGGTACGGTCCTCATTTCAATTGCAAGTTAATTGAAACTTCCGGCTCCATCCCCTGATACTAATTTTATATTGGTAGACGGTATTGTGGCGCCAGGAAGCCAGTGGCCCTTTCAGAGGTCGCGAACATCAACAGATTTTGTGCATCCGACGGTAGTCGTATGCAATTACCAAACCAACAGCATGAAAGGCGCCGCCAAGTACAGCAAACATATACAAAAGCTGATGCGAATGACCCCAAATATCAACTGTCCTGGGACTCAGTCTCTCTGGGAATCGAAAGACGAAAACGCTCACTCCAGCCAAGAGGGAAAGCCTTTCTGCGAGATACCACCCAGCCCCAATTTCATTACTCGCACAAGCCCAGCCCAACTCAATCACACTTTGAGGATAGGCAGCATTGCCGAGATAGCGAGCAAGGAGAAGACACCCCCTCATAGAGTCCTCATTTTGTCGCCTCCACCGCCGGTGTCAAAGTGATAGCAGTGCTAATTGCCGAGAAGAGAGTGAGACCCCAATACACCCGCTGGAGGAAGGGTCTGCAATAAAATGCGTAATATATCATGGAGGTACCAGATCCTAGAGCAAGGAAACAAATGCCGAGAATATCCATTTCCCCCTAGAGACGGTGGATATTATAGAGTGGCTTCTTAGGGAGTGAAATCCAGCGCTGAGCCCAAAGCAGATGGTCGCCGAGGTCAAGAAGGACCCGAAAGCAAATATATCGCCGCGGGTGAAATTGAGGCCTTCTAAGAGCGAGACGGAATGGTTTAGGGTTAAAGCAATAGCAATAAAAGCTATCGAGCCTAGAAGATGGGTCCAAATGTCCGCCGTTCCCATATGTAAACAGCGCCACAGACGTAAAGATCGTTAGTAAGAATACGTGGGCATCGGATGGCCCTCCAAAATATAATCATTATCACGGATCAATCCTGGAATCTGCTCTTTGCTTCCAATAGTTGGCCAGTACGACTGGGTTATCTGGCTTGGGGGTGGCTGGGCTCTCAGTCAACAGCTGGGAGCTTTACGCGGATTGGGATACTTGAGAGACTTGAACAGAAAATGAACCTCCTGCGGGATTTGTTAGTGGGTATTGTTCTGATTCCATATCAGGCAACTAACCGGATTGGTCACTCGTCCATCGTTCCTGGAATCCCCTGACATAGAATACCTCACCCAAAATCATTCTATCCGGTTTTGATATTGCTAGCCCTTTTATATCCCTTGTTGTTGCACGTAGTGTGTCTGTAAGCTGAGTATTCCATAGGATTTGAACAACTTGTTGGATCATCGTATCTGAGAATACAAGAAGGTGCTATTGTGCAGGAGAAAGAAGCATATTGTAGCTCACCATAATTTGCTTGTCCGAGGATCCGTAGGCTCTTGTTTTTGTGCCTTTGGTACTAGTTCCAAACCGTTCTCCACTTCTTCTAGAGATTCACGAGTATGCCTGGTTCAATCGCACGGAACGCCGCCGCGCAGTAGGCTTCTGTTTCAACCAGATTCCGAAGGTCGAGAGAATAGGGCTGGATTGCCGCTGATCGCTCATCTTCTAAATTAGGAATACCTTCAACGTTTCTGAGTAGAATGTTAAGATATCCCAGTCTGATGCCACTATCAAACAAGGCGATTTGCGGAGATCTCTATGCATCTCCACCACAAACCCCCGGTTGAACATCCATGGATCGACTAATCGGTGGTTCTGAACAGTTGTAATAGAAAGCTGGAGCAGAAAAGTGCTAGGCTGGCCCTGTCTCCAAAGGGTCTAGTGCATGGCATTTTTTGGATCCAGGGAATAAACACAGGGGTTGTTCCTTCAAGCGAGATACCCTGCCGCATGAAAAGCATGTAACCAAGGTGGGCTTTCAGGTCCTCCACCGAGAACGCACGTAGGTCTCCCGCTTCTAACAATTGTTTTCGTAATTCAATACACCAGTCCGAAGCATGATCAAGACATCCAGGGAGGAAGACAGCCTTCCATTCGCTATTTCCTAGCTCGAGCATATGCTGAACCTTGGTTTCATCACCGGCTGCCGATTGCGCAGTGAAAAGATAGTTGAGAATCAAAGCTATCTGCATCAAGTTAAACGGAACCTTGAAAAGATTTTGAAGAGTTTTCTTGCATGTTCCAAGTTCAGAAGCTAGAAGAATTAAGTTTGTTGTATAATATTTGCTATTGCTGAAAGTGAGAGCAACCACGTCTCATAAGAATATATAGTCATAATGACCCCAAAGTGAGGAGAGCCCAGCGAGAGATTGGGCCTATCACGTAATGATCTAATGAGCATTGCAGCCGACTTAAATTGACGGCTCCACAATGCTTGAACGTTTGTCTCCAACAATCAATTGGCACTTTTTACCCTGGGTGAGAACTAAAAAGCGCCTGTTCCGTGAGCCTTTGTGACACTTGTTCTCTAGATAATATGAATTTGTATGACTAATTATTGCCCGAATATTAGAGTAGGATTTAGACTATCCGGAGTTGAAGAATGGCTGTCGGATTATTTACTACATGTCTTGGATACAGAGTCGAAGTTGTCGAAGTCACTAGGTAGACATGCGTTTGGAACAAGCGCGAACTAAACAGTGGATAAGAGAGAAGTGCCTTCTAATTTTCAACACTAGGACAACATTTTGCAAAAAAATCTCAATAGAATATTCACTTGACGGTTTCCAGAAAATGAATGAGATCATAGTATTTTCAAATGGTAAAAATACCTTTGAGCACACTTCGGAGATTTGAGTTCGAATGAAAGGAGCATAAAGAGCCGCATGCAAGCCATTATGGACTTATTTCTTGAACGCATCAACTCTTTCAGGCTGTAATTGTGGAATCGCGGTTTGAGATGAAGTAGATAGTATGGGCTGCGGCGTCGGTGGTCTTGGTGGCAATTGACTAGGGAGTGCGTAGCGGTGAAGCTCATGGTGATAGTAGTCTCGTTCCGATTTATAAAAGTCCAGCTGGGTTTGGAGGAAGCTAATCTCGTTCTGCTGCGTATTCACAAGTGATTCGAGCTGCTTTGCCTCTCGCCTGCGATTGCGGAATCGCCGAGATGCTTTGCAGTTTCCTTTTCGCTTCTTTGCCTTTTACGAGGAGCCAGTTCTGAGGTCCAATTCGTATGGAATGAAATATTTTGTTTGGCTTGCTAGCTCTTCTGAATGAGCGGATGGGGAGACGTTTTGCAGCTTGGAGGATCTGGGGTGAATGAAGAACTCCGATCGAGGATACTTTTGATGTCCACTGCT